TAGATTTACTCGTTGGGCTATTGCATGCCCCTTAAACGACATATCTGCTGAAAACGTTGCTTTAGTTTTTCTCGACCGTTGGGTGTCAAACTACGGTGTACCAACTACTATTACATCCGACCGCGGTCCTCAATTCCAATCGACACTCTTTCGCGAACTGACGAGACTTCTGGGAGTGAAACATATCTCCACAACAGCCTATCATCCGGCAGCGAATGGTCTAGTGGAAAGATTCCACAGACAACTGAAAAGCTCCCTGATGGCGCAGAATGATACATCTAAGTGGAGTGAATACTTACCTTTGATTTTACTTGGTATCCGATCTACTATCAAAGAAGATTTAGGATGTACACCGGCTCAACTTGTCTATGGCACCAACCTAACCTTGCCTGGACAGCTAGTCCCCTCAGCCGATTCCACAGACGTGAACATTGCCGACTTCACTAACCGATTAACTAGACAAATGCTTCAACTTCAACCAACAGCACCTCGACAATCTCCCCGACGAGATCAGATCAACAAACATCTACAAACTTGCAAATTCGTCTTCATTCGAGTCGACGCCATCAGAAAAGGATTGCAACCTCCATACGAAGGACCCTTTCAAGTTATTAAACGTTCAGACAAACACTTTACAGTGAACAAGAATGGAAGACGAGAGACTGTTTCAATTGATCGAATCAAACCCGCATACACCGACAACGACTTCGAATCTACATCGGCAGCTGCGCAATCAAATAATCAAACATCCGATTCCACTCCACCGGCACCAAGTCTTATCCTCCCTCCATATCAAACACGTAGTGGTCGGCAAATCAGTAAACCGGCTCGCTACGTTCATTTTGAGGACTAATAAAAAAAAATAATTAAAAATTATTATTATCTTTTTCGTTTAGACATTATCATCATGACCGTTAGTATTTCGTCGTAAACTTTGATGTTACTATCACTATTATTTATTTATATGTACCTCACCTAAAAAACAGGTATCGTCCATTTCAAAAACTATTGATCTTTAATCCATATTTTTTAAAATTTTCTTTCCCCTCCTTAATTACTGTGTATTTACATATTTTTCTTTATACATTAAAAATCTATGTTCATGGTTAGTGCAAATTTAAGTGACATGACTTTCTATTTCAATTTTTATTGCTGAACTCATTGTATATGCTTTCAGACTTTACATGATTCACATACCTTCTCGCGTTTATGCATGTTGTAATATATCCCTATTTTTATCCAAAAATTGTTATTACTATTATTATTTACTTCATAGTTTTACTTATCATTTTCCGGTTGTCTCTCCGGACCTCTAGGGGGGAGCCGTGTTGAGTACGTAACAATGTGATTGTACACTTTTTGGTTACTTGTATAAATTCGAGATATTGTACATAATTTTTGTTTAAAACGCTTCTTGTTGAAATATACATAACTTCCGTGTACAATTGAAAAATACACTCTGCTGTTGGAGACTTCGTCTTCTCCCTGGTCACTTCTGCTTACTTGCTCCACTCACACCGTGTTGTATACTTCGGATTTATTGTAGGAGTCTACTACTCACAACCGAAGACATTTCTACAACCGGAACACAGCAGCTACAGCAAACGCAACCCAATCAATTAACGTGCCCGTGGATTAAATACATAATTTGTAGCAGAGGACTTAGACTTTATATCCAAGTAATCCTTTTTGGTGATACAACTCGTCACTGCATTTTTTGGTAATATATTGTTATTTAACACTCCATTGACTTGGATTATTATTCTTATATTTATAATGTTAGTGAACTCTAGTATAATTCCCCTACACGTCACCTAGTAGGGTGATGAAAGCTTCGCAAATCAACTATCCAGCTCAGAGAACACAACCACATCAAAATCATCCACCTGAGCTACAAATCTTCTCTATCATTTCTAGATGCAAGTGTATGTCCTCCAATTTTTAAAGAACTTGTTCTGCTCAGAACAAAATCAAATCGAAGCAACAAGTCGATCGTTCAAAATACGAAATATATTTTGGGATCAGAAATGTAGAGCTCTCATGACTGACTCAATAATCAGAGTGAGTGCCCAAACAACCGAAAGTATCACAACCCGCATGGGGTGAATGCTTGAACGCGTGCCTTCAGCTTAACCAGTAGACTTAAACGGTGAGGGTCAGAGCCTAATGTTGAGTGGTTCAAGTCATAGGCAGGTGATTTTGAGAAAGCATTTACCAATACATTATTTTTGTAGTGATCTGCATTATCAGTACGTTCTAAGGCAAAGTTCAACAATAGCGTCCCAAAGGATGCGAACGCACGAGTGACCTTCAGGCAACCAATCATAAACATGAGGAACTTTTGCACGAAAAATGACGTATATTCACAAGAAAATGCATGAAAACACATTAAACGGATTATATTTCTCTGATATGACTTAAAAATACGTTCCAGTTGCGATGAAGAGTATCAGTTGCTAATTTGGACTAGTTTCTGTTGATGTATTCACCAAAGAGACTGAAGGTGTGCTGTTTTGGGAATGGTTCATCTATCTTCTCTTGCTATGTAGTCCTCTCCTAAGCCCTAGGTTTAGTTACTATGGTTCCAGTAAGAGCATTGGCGACTACATACAAGGGAAATAAGGATAACAAAAGAACTTGAAATAAACGAAAAATCTATTCCTAATCGCTACCCTAACCCTAACCCTGAGCCCTAACCCTAACCCTAACCCTAACCATTGTGCCACCGACGCACACAATGACCGTAACCCTAACCCTAACCACAATACTCGCCTTAACCCCTATCCTAACCCTAACGAGATGTTAACACATTGTCCAAACAGTAATAAAAGTGTTATCTGGGTGAAACTTGCTCCTTATTTGATGAATAGGGTTGATATTTCAGCTATGATAATGACAGGAACCGTTAGCCAACGACTAGCATGCGTTCAAGGTCATTTGAGCGTTGAAGGTTTTGGGACGCTATTCTTAAACTTCGCCCGTTCTAAGTAATTTTTTCCAACTTTTAAGCTACGAAGCGTCTAGTAGATGTTACATATCGCTGACTTCAAATTGTGATACACAGAATTGTGAAATATACCCATTAGTTCATAAGGAAAACACAGATTTTGTTCAATGAAGAGATAGGACTTTCCAATGACATCATTTTCAAGCTGTACAGTCGTATTTACATTACGGAAAAAGAAGGAATTCAGTGGCACTAGAAATCGCTCAGTCAATATTGCACATATGATAAGAATAAAGATAATTAAAATGATGCATTAAGTGGGTGGAGTTGAAGTGGATGAGTCAAGCGTTGTCTAGACAATTAATAGTATGATGATGATAACAATAAAGACGTGACGTAAGGCAGTAGTCACTAAGTTCGTAGCTTTGGTAAGTTCGATTGCATTAGTTACTATAAAGGACGACAGTGTTTAAGCACTTTCTTAGGCCATTAGTAGGACACAAAGTAATTCTAATGATACGTGCGCTTGCCTAGGAAAAATGAGGGCTTCTTTTCGTTACGAAAATAGCAGTAGTGGATGAACAGGTCGTTTAAAAAGTGGGCAATTTGTTCGTTGAAAAAGTGGGAAAACGGGGAAAAAGTGGGTTAATTGTTCGTTGAAAGGTGGGAAAACGGGGAAAAAGTGGTTAAATTATTCGTTGAAAACGTGGGAAAACGGGGTAAAAGTGGGTACATTTTTAATTCCGGCACATGGGATAAGTGGGTCAAGTGGGAAAACTCGGAAGAAGTGGGACAAAACATTTTTACGGACATGGGAAAACGGGGAAAAAGTGGGAAATGTGGCCAAAGTGGGTAAAATCGGTTGCATTTACACCATCTTTTGCCCACGTGTTTACTGATCAAAATCACCCTTTTATCCCACGTTTTGCCCACTTTTCCCATGTGAATTAACCGACTGGGTCGAAAGATGAGGTGAAGTGGAAGGAATTCAAGTGGTAAAATAAAATAAAAGAATATAACTATGACCAAAGTAAAGGGGTTTAACAAGACGTTTCTGAAAAGACAATTTAGGTTTCTATCCATGTATATCTAGAGCTTCGGTTATGCATAAGTGGAGAAAAAGTAAGCTTTTGGAGTAGTTGGATTTGGTCCTGTAAATAACTTTGAAGGGTGAATTATCTGGGGCTAAATGAGTTGACTCCACAATATGTTCACAACTTGAAGACTTTATCATTCTATGTTCACCAATCATTGACCAAACTGGGTAGTGCTCAGCTACGCGTTTACGGATATTACGCCTACAACGTCCGGTGTAATCAGCTCCACACGAGCATGTAAATGAGTATATGAACATGGAGTTGAACGTAAGCTGTAGTTCATCCTTAACGCGTTGTGGAATGAAATTTCGGCTGGTAATTTTAAAATCTTCATTCCAGTTCATTTATTTAATAATCTTTAAGAGTTTTGTGACTCATCCACTTCAACTCCATCCACTTAATGTATCATTTTAATTATCCTTATTCTTATCACATGTGCAATAATGACTGAGCGATTTCTAGTGCCACTGAATTCCTTCTGTTTCCGTAATGTAAATACGACTGTACAGCTTGAAAATGAAGTTGTTGTGAAGAGATATTTCTTCTTTAAGCAAGAATTGTGATACACTGAATCATCGATCAGTAAAGAGTATATATTACTCAACTACTAGTGAATTTTTAACTCGATCCTGGGACTGTGCTAGGTTACTCCTTAGAAATTGTTTCTCATCAAGTTTTTATGTTAGTAAGTCAAGCCTTCTAAATACTTTATAGTTTCGGTAGCACTTTTTTATTCATAAGGTCTAAAAGACTATCACGTATTCTAACAAAGAGGTGTTTAATGTTATTGGTCTGGTCATTCACAGTGAGGTAGGAGGTGCCATGAAATTCAATTTTCGTCTCTCCAGCATTCAAATGCACAAATACTGAAGGCGAATTATACTAGTACCTATCAACATGTTATAATCTATACTTTTTATGGATAAGCATACTAATAGTTACTATGGTTAATATTTGCAGTAATGGTAATAAAAATAAGAATAACTGAAATGTTATTTACAAGTCTTATTGTTCATACATACGATATTTTACCTATTATTTTCATTACTAATTTGTTGTAAACGTGGTTAATTGATTCGAATATTATTTGTACATAAATAAAGAAAATATTTGTAAGCATTATTTCAACTTGTTCATTGATATGATGAAATGAAATAAGGCTTTAGTAGTAAACAAACTAAACAACGTGCGGTTCAATACTTTTGAATCTGTGTTCAATATTCAATGTAAACAAAAGTATAGTAGGACGACTTTTTTGTTTTTTCTGCTATAATAAATAAATAATAATTCAATTCTTTGTTCTTTTTAGAATTCTTCTAATAGTTTCGTCTCTTACTATGGTATTCCTACTAGGGAAACCAGAGGTGAAGACAAAAGAAAGCAGCTGAGCAGCTGTAGACCTACCTAACATGAAAATAACAGTTGGAGAAAAGAAAACCATACGAAGGTGAATATAAAATTAAAGAGTTATATACACATTTAAAGAAATAGAAGACACATATTTTATGGAAATATGTGTTCAAAGACAAATGGTCACTAGTGTATATGTGCAGTGTTAAGAGGTTTGTTAAAGAAAAAATCAATTTAATTTAGTGACACCGATTTAAACAGCTCTTTCAATTCTTTGATACAATCTTCTGATTCTGATGTATTTAATAAATCTCTTAATGAGTTTGATCGAATGACTGGTGGTGCAAGAGTATTTTCTTCCGTTGTATGAATAATACTGGTAGTGTTGTCAGCATAATTTTGTGATGTATTATCAATATTGTTAAATACATCATGATTACCTGTAGTGCTGCTACTTCTGCGATTATTTTTATATTCACACAAGTTACTTTGATCAGATATTGTTAATTTCTGCATTGTACAAATGTCATTATTACTATTCCTATCATCATTTAGTGTTATATTTTCTAAACAAGGCCGTTTTTTTGATGACTTCAATTTGTTAAGACGGGATTTTCGATGACGAAGTGCATTATAAGTATTAAAATCACATGTTCTGTTATTGTTGAGTTTTGGTGTCTTATGATTGTTATTATTATTATTACTATTATTATTAGCTGATGATGTTTTGATACTTGTATTTCTGTGATCTGACCGATGAATATTTGTATAGTGTTTAAGAAGTTTTGTATATCCTGGTTTGGTATAACTGAATCCATTACAGGCATCAGTTCGACCAACTTTGCGTAGATAGGCGTATTTCATCTAAAAGAGAAATCAGTTGAAAATATCTTTATATGTTAGTGAATTTCTCAGAAAAAAAGTTAACTAAATTTGAAATACCACAGACTAATTACTTCACTGTGAATCGATTATAACAGGAATTTTTTCAATAATTTAATAGTTCCGGTTGTTGCATTAGGGACAGAATATTCAACGAAGAGACTCTTTTCAACGAATTTATTATCAATCTGTACAATCGTATTTATATGGCTTTTTAAGAAATTATATCCGGTGACATTGGCTGTAGTCAGAGGACGCTTTCCACACGGACACGAGAACATATCCCAGCTGCATGTTTTTACAAGGGAGAAAGGAAGTGTGTGCGAAGCTCTACTCCGGAACACCTGATCGACTTTTGTCATTCTGTCAATCCTGATCATGATTTTAAGATCGTATATAGAATCCATGTTAACTTCCCGAAGTTTTCTTCGTTACAGACTTCTAAAGACAGCTGAGGCCTTGGCAATTCATGACTATAAGCCAGACCTTTATGTACAAAAGAAGTATGTACAATTCCTACTTCTGCCTTGGCCGCAGAGGGATAGGCATTTATTTATTTTGTTTATTTAGTTATTCTATGTACTTTTCCCTTATTACTACGATTATTATTATTACTATTCTCACTCTGAATCTTTTCCACTTGACACACTTGTCATTTGAAACCGGAAATTATTAATTTTTATATTTTTTTTATCTTATTTTTACAATATTGAATTCTATCTTACCGAATTTCACACCTTGCTATGTAACACTTTATATTCGTCTACTAATCCTATAATTATATACCTCTCCCCAAAATCTATACACCTTATGTATTATTCTAGATACGACAATAATTATTTTGCAAATTGACACTAAACTATGATTATAATCACAAATATTTTACTTGCATCTCATACTACTATTATTATTTCATGTATTCACACCTTTGACCTAATCCCCTAATCGGATATAATTTCTTAAAAAGCCATATATATACGTACGATTGTACAGCTTGATAATAAATTCGTTGAAAAGAGTTTCTTCGCTGATAATATTGTGTTCTTAATATAACAGGAATGACAGTGAAAATTAAAAGGAGTTTTATCGCTTGTGAGTTTTCAGGTATTCAAGATGAAATTATTCTAGAATTATTAGAATTGAGCTAACTAGACTGAATCCTAGTGAATTAATTGTCTAGGCAGAATTCATTTTTATAAAACCGTAGAAATAGTATTAAAACTGCAATCCCCCATGAACAGTTCCTTAGAATTCTGACCATTTGATCTAATAGTCATTGAAATTATACAGTTTGGAGTGCTTAGAATAGAATTATAAATAGCTTCTTTTTGAAGTTACCAGGTTTAAATAAATAGTATTCGACCTGCTAGAGATGTTTAACTACTCCTAAATATAGAATGGATTTAAATTTACTCACAAATATAATGTGTTAAAAACAAAAATAATAATGTGTGGTATAATATTGTTTATTATCTATATTACTGTCTAATTATAACAAAAGGATCCATGAAGCGGTATACTGTAGGGATTTTACGTTATAAATAGATTTGAAACGACTTCTAAAAGAAACAGCTAACATATTGTGACGTATACTAGTGACAATAACATATAAGTAGTACGTTGATGATATGCAAATATTTGGGTTAGTTGAGCCGTGAAATCAATTGCAAAGAAAGAGGATAAAAGTCATTAGAAAAGCAGATGAATAACGTTTGCAAACTGGAATTTTAATGTAAGGTTAATATATTTTGCCATCAATTTAAGTTATTTTACCAAATACGACCGTGTTCTACCGTTACAATATTACCTGGGTTTTTTATGTGCAGTAGACAAACTAAACGTAGATCTTTCTACTTTTGACTTTTTGAAATATATATGTTGACTTGACAGCTGAAAAATCGTTTCGCAATATAGCGCAACCGCTAGCCAATATATTCGGCGAGTATTTTTCCTCACACCCGACCTACTGCACCCTACTGGTCACGACTTCACACAAGAACGTCAGGTAACTACCTACCTGAATAGGGCCAGTCGCCACTGAGCATCTCATTGATATATTCAAGTATTGGTTTGTCAGATGCAATACTCTTAGTGACTTACCAGAAGCTTTCTTCCTGTTTGCTTGACGATTCTAAATAGGCTATTATTATTATTCCCTTGGGTTCCGAAAGGGAAAATAAGGTTTCAGCAACACATCTCCACTTTCTGCTATTTTCTGCTATCCTATCGAGCTGGGTCAACGATTGCCCACAATCTTTCATCCCCTCTTCTTCTTCTTCACACGATCTCCTCCATGTCATCCTCACAACAACAACCCACTCATCGCTTTCCATTGGCATACTACTCGAGCGATGGCATGCATTGAGCTCGACTTCATTTGACGGCCTAAATACACTAATCATATAAAACTGCACTAATGTTTTACTAAAACCACAGGGTTAGTTGTATTCGAAATAGTAAATTTTTCGATCATACATTCATCTTAAAAGGAAGGTCTCACTATTTAAAAAAATGTTAGGTATTATGAATTGTGTACTTATGTATTTTTTCTATTGAGATTTAGGATTTAAATGCAAATAAGTATTTGATCTCACCTGACTCAATAACTAAATTCAGTCTCGTTGTGGATGTAAGAGAAAATATTATTTATGGACTACATTTCATTTCATAGGTATTTTTCTATGGCTAATTGAGGTAAACAAACAAAATGAAGTTTCTATCTACACATCTAATAATAGTGATAACGTGAGAAAGCTGAAATATGAGATTTTTTGAAATACACCAGATTTATTTCTTTGTTGTATCAGCATGTAACTCTAATATGCACTTCTGAAGGTTTAATCACAAGCCATAAGGAATCTTAAATACAGATACCATCTGCCTATTAAAGCCGTTAGTTTTCATTTAAGGAGACATTTAATTTCCTCCATTGAGTTCTGTAGTCGTTTATCATAAATACAGTAAGCACAAGTTACTTACAAAATTTTGTAAAAATCCAGAAAACAAATAGTAACAACTGCGAAAAACACTACATTGTCCAAAGTAGACGTCCCCTTCGTCTTCGTATCCACAATCATAAGCTAGCAGTCAAAAGACATGGCTTCCACTTCATCATACCACTACAAACAGACAACCGCGGAAATCAATTCGACTGGGACAACGTTCAAATATTAGACAGAGGAAACAACAAGAATTCTAGAGAATTTTTAGAAGCCTGCCTAGTATTCCAGTGAATCATCAGTCAATAGACACATCGAGATAGACTAAATCTATCAACCGATAAGAAAGAAACTTCACACACAAAGGGTCAAGGTTCAAGTCAAAGAAACAATCACTTCCAATACAAGTAACCTAGAAGGTGTGAAAACACACGAAAACAACGAATGACGTTCAAGGTCCCCAGGAGAGATGATTAGTAAACTCGTGGAGAAATCTGAAAGCTCACTTCAAGAAATTGAAGTAAGCGCTGAAGACGTCACCTAGTAGGGTGATGAAAGCTTCGCAAATCAACTATCAACACAATCACATCAAAATCATCCACCTGAGCTACAAATCTTCCCTATCATAGCTAATTTAAAATGCTTTCTAAGATTGTATAAACTTACTTTATCCTTATATTGCGCTTTAGCAGATTTATGTTCAATCGCCTCTGATTTCATTTTATCAGAACTTTGTGTCTGTTTTTTATCCACTGGATTCATATAAATATGTTTGGTCGTAACACTATCCTCAGATGAATCACATATTTTCAATGGAATATTTGTAAATAAATTTGATGATTGTTCATTTGATACATACGGTGTAGTAGTGTTTACTGTCCCTTCAACTTCATATGATGAATTTGTATACTTCTCTAATATTGATGAAGAACAATTTACGTTGAAAGACTGTGTTTTATTCAATTTTTTATTATCAGATATCTCATCTGATGCGATTTGATTATTTGTAGATAAATATGTAGGTCTTTTCTTCGTGTGATATAAACTTGATTTTTTCTTAAGTACACATTTTTTATTCTTGATTTCGCCTTCTTCTTTAATTTTGCTTAGAAGTAATGACAAAAAGGGTTAATAAATTCTTGAGAAACCATATTATCAAGTATAGTCAAATTAGTACACGGGTATATATATATATATATATACCACAAAAATATACCAACCTTTGATTACAGAACTCATCAACATCCGTTCATTGATAGTGAATACAAAGTAAAATGAGATGATACCGCTATGCAATGTCAAGCAAGTCAAAGATTTCAATGTATCTGATAAACATTTAGTCTCTTTCGATGTTACCTCCCCTTCACAAATGTGCCAGTCGTTGAGACTATCGACTTCATATGTAAAGAAGCTGAAGAAATACCCACTCCAACATCGGAATTGAGGAAATTGCTACTTCTATGTACTAAAAATGTCCAACTCCAATTCGACGGGCGTCTATTCCTCCAAGTTGATGGTGTCGCAATGGAAAGCCATTTGGGACCGCTTTTAGCTGACTTATTCTTGTCAGGCCTAGAAGCCGGTACCATGCAGCAACATATACAGGAAATGGATGTATACCTAAGATATGTTGATGACATTTTTATTGTCTGTGGAAGCAGATCAAAAGCTTAAGACATGTTGATAAAATTCAACTCATGCCATCCAAATCTTAATTTCACAGTAGAACACGAGGAAAACGATTCTGTTAAATTCCTAGACGTTTTTATAGCGAAAATAAATCATGGCACAATCGAAAGATCTATATTTAGAAAGTCTTCATGGACAGGACAGTACATCCATTTCAAGAGCTTTGTTCCAATCCAGTATAAAAAGAATTTAGTCAGAACATTGTTCAATAGAGCAAGAAAAATTTGTTCTGACAGTACTACTAAGCATGGAATAAAATCTCTGAAGGATATTTCATCTAAGAATGGATATCCTGAGAAGTTCATTAATAAATACTCTAAATAAATTAGCCCCTTCAAAACAATCCAAACAGTTCCGAAGAAGCCTGTCTATATCAGTTTGCCGTTCATCAAAGGAGATGATGTGCAGGAAGTAGTCAAACGAAGACTCGACAAAGCCATCAAGAGGACTTATTATGCTGCAAAACTTGTTATCCTTAACACCACTAAGCGAGTGCTTCAACAATCTGGGAAAGACCAGTCGCCAATCCTCGACACTTCAAACTGCATATATCAATTTGAGTGTGTTTGTGGAAGCAAATACATAGGTCGTACGGAAAGGTGATTTTCTACTCGCATGATGGAGCATTTGCCAAAATGGTTGAAAACAGCTGAGTGCAAAGTGCCAAAATCCTCAATAACAAAACATCTTGTGGATTACGGACATGATATAGACGCAGTCAAGTTATTCACTATTGTCAGAAGACAAGGAAACAAGAAGATGCTTGCAATTGCAGAGGCTTGTGCGATTCGAGTTTATAAACCAGGTCTCTGCGTACACAAGAATATGGTCGTGACTCTGAATCTACCATGGTAATACGTTTTACTTATTATTCTACCTTATTATTATTATTATTCTTGATTCATTTAAAACTATCCTTTATCAGTAGGATTATCTTAACTCACTTCAACACATTATTATTATTATTATTATTATTATTACTATTGATATTAGTCTGTTTGCAATTCTTGTTATATTCCCTAATGATCAATTGCTTATCTAAGTGATGCAATTTATTTTAATTTTGATGTCTCATACTCTCTCTCTCTCTTCATCTAGTTGAACATGACCTGGAAAACGATTCGCACCTGTCTTTCTGTATGACTAATTCAATGTAGTTTGTTTACTTATCAGTCTTATATCTCCCAATGTAATTTCAAAAGTATATATATCCGTGTATGTAGAGTATTCGGCTGACGAGTTCTACCGAAATTTGATGAATTCATTAAATCCTGCTTTATTAACATTTGTTGTTAGTGTTAAAATTTATCCATCAGAAAACTCTAAATTCCAGATATAAGTGTTTCTGAAACACCAGAGAAAGGTATGTTTTGTTAAAGATTCCATTACACATACATCAGTGATGAAATTATACACTTTAAATGAACCACTTGCTCAAAAATAATCATCTCATGTTTAAAATAGTTTGCCAGTTTGAAGTATGAAACAGAACACTATTATTCTATGAACAGGTTTATTTATGCATTACATTATAGACAGAATGAGACTTATTTGTTTATGCTTCTTTGATATAGTGATCGAGATATGCAATGACTTGCTTCTACATCCTAATAACACTAAAAAATATCTCAAACAGTGTCCTTAATCAAATTTTGAAACTGAACTAACTACATTACAAAAGTACTCATAAAAGATCACATTGGATATATTAGAAGTACCAAGTTCATTTGTGTAACCATAAAAAGAGTAGTATGCTTTACATGAGCTAATTGTTATAATAAACAGTTTATTATTTCCCAAAAGCTGGTTTGTAGGGATTAGATCTGCTTTTTGGGTCTGACCAAGGATTGATATTAGTTACAGAGCCATTGAAATCCAGAGAGTACTGGACGACTGTTTCATCCTAGCTTGAGAATCATCAGCAGTACACACCCAGTGCGTTTCGGACCCAGGAACTTCAGGTTACAACTCAAGTTCGTATACCATTCAGCCGCTGCGACCCGATGGTATGGCCCATGAGTCCTAACTTCTACTAATTCGTGACTTAGCGCGACCATCAACCGATATCATCGGTGGGAAATCCATCCTCACACTTGACTGGTTGGACATTACTGGTCAGAACTTCTTACTAGGACGGAGTTTCCTGGAGTTCTAGTGAGAAGTTGCGATCAGTGAGGTCCAACCAGTAAAGTGTGAGGATGGATTTCCCACCGATGACATTGGTTTGTGATTGCACTACAATCACGAATTAGTAGAAGTTAGAATTCATGGACCTTTGAATAGAATCCCAATAACTGATTGGTATACGTGCTGGCGTGGTAACCGGAAGGTCCTGGTTTCGAACCCTAGTTTATTATTCGCCTTATTATCTCCCTTTGAAAAATGAAACCACTGGAAAAATGTTCTCTGAAGATTATTTTCGCAAGTGCTCGCCTTTTCAGAGAATAAAACAACCAAATATTTCAACATTTAACCCTATGCTCAAGAAATGAGTTTGCAAGGGACATGCATTTCAGAAGATAACTCTTACTAGTATGTGTCATCTTACAAAACATATCTAGTTTCAAGGCTTTCTGTACTATTATCTTCAACATAGAACATAGGACACATTATTCGGATGTGTATGACTTCCGAGATAATTGCATTTAATGTTGTGGGATGACAGAGGTCTCTGAGTTGTGATTATGCTTCGCGAATTAAGTACTTATACACCTGATTTGTCTATATTTATATTACGGAATATGTCTAGTTTCAAAATCAAAACATCTGCTCAGTTAATATTGCTGTATAAGACTGTATGATTCATCAAAATAAAATCTTATCCATAATGGAGTTATGCTCTACCACAGTGCCCAAGTTTTATACTTATATCAATATTACACCAGGTTCGCCTAGTATTTTAGCATAATGGAATCCTCTTTTTACTCTCCCTTTTTTTACCCGTCCACTTGTTTTTTCCACTTTTTTCTATACCAATTGTTTTCATCAAGTGGCTCAATTAATTTTGTCATTATTGTGTTAAGTTATGTTGAGATGATGGAGAAGATTTGCAGCTCAGTTAAATATATATTAGTACTATTGTGTTTTATGAGTTGAGTGATTTAACTGTGTTCCTACACAACATATTCAGCCCTATCTTTAAAAATGACGTAATGCTTTAAGGTGTTCTATCTAACCATTCAGCTGTTTTTCATAAGAGTCAACAGAATGATTTATACATTTCTATGAAAATGTATAATTTATGTAAAAACTTACTTTTTAAATGATGGTTCAGTTAAATCTTTATGAATAACTTTTGATGATTTTTCACAATTACAGTCATAGAAATAACATGCTTTTGTGTTATTGTATCGATCAAACTCCGAAGAACTGTCTTCATTCTTTAATGTCTTTAAGTTGCGTTCTTCACTATGACTGTTAAATACAGTTGCTGGCCATGTTTTAGTATCTTCTGTTGTTGCAGATGATGGACGTGAACATGATTGGGAAAGTACTTCTAAAACATCTGATGTTTCTTTAGTTGTCGAGAATTTTCTATGCTGTTGTTTATTTCGAGCACTAAAATGTGATATAACTGGATTCAACCGGTATAAATGGTGTTTACGATTTAATTTAGGTGATGTATTTCTTCTATTTGTACAATTTTTATCTAATAATGTTACGTTACCATAAATATCACTTGTAGTTTGAGAAATGGTTGTTTTTGATATGGAGACTTTTTTAGAAGTATTCGAGTGAATTACAGTAGAGGAATTTTCATGAGATTGCATTGTTGAAAGTGAGTTTTGCGTAGATTTATTTGTCAGAGAAAGAGGATTTTTTACTCCTTCTGAACTTTCACTGGGTGGAATTGTCTTCATGTTTATTTGTGATTTATTTGTATCACTCAATTTAGATGCAGAATCTTCTGTGCATCGATTTGTGTATACTTTAAGTGACATATTTGATGGAGCCATTGCTTTTATGTATTTTTTTGCCCATTCTTTCAAATTCTGAAGAGTGTACAAAGATATCGATATAAATAGCAAACTTTAGTATCATTATGTGAAAATTACTATTCTTTTAGAATTTTTAACACTCAGTATATATATATATATAATGAAAGCAATTATTATTATTTCCTTTAATTTCTAGAGGAACACAGGGCTTCAGTTGCCCGTCTCCATTGAGTTCGATTCTCTGCTAGAGTTTTCATCTGGCTCCAAGTCTGCCCACATGTTTTCATCTCCTCTTCACATGACTTCCTCCATGTCATCTTCGCACCGACGACCAACTCGCCGGTTCCCTTTCAGGTTCCACTCGAGCAATGGCTTGTCTATTGATGTCACTTGGTGTATTCCTCAGAGTATGGCCAATCCATCTCCATTTCTTTCTGCTTATTTGTTGCACAATCGGTTCATGGTTGGTTCGCTGATTGCCAGGGATCCCTCGCTGTTGCTGATCTTTTCTGGCTGGCCATCTGGTCTTGAGTGGTATTGAGCGAATCCAGCTGTTGATGAAGGTCTGTAATTTGTTTGAGGTGCTCTTTATGACGCTCCAAGTGCCTGATGTGTATAGTAGCACTGACTTCACATAGGAGTTGAAAATCCGGATCTTATTTTTGATGCTGATTGCTGTTGACCTCCACACAGATTTGAGAGTAATGAAAGCTTGTCTTGCTTTTCAGATTCTTGCTTTGATATCCTCGTCCGTTCCGCCTGTATCTGAAACGATGATTCCCACGTAGGTAAATGAGTTTGCTTCTTTCTGATTTCTCCCATTCATGCTGATTGTTTTCTGTTGCTGTGGTTGCTGGTGTTGGTCAGGAATCTTCATCACCTCTCTTCTCTATATGTGCACCTGAACTCCTTCCTGTCGTTGATGCTTCTTCTGCCAAAGAAGTGAAATCAATTTATGAGGTTTTTGTGTCACAGAAAATAATTTTTTATTATCCTCTGGGGATGTTTCTTATGTATTTAGTTTCATTAGTAAATTCTAAACGAGTATATGTGAGATATCCTTATTTAAGCTTTTTATCTTAAAATGTACACTACATTCACCATGATCTTAAAAACTAAGCAATTTTTTAAACATTATCCTTAGGTCGTGTTATTGACACAGTTAGTAACGTGAAAGATAGGATCACGAGCTCACATCACCTAGAGAGCTATTAGAAAACCATGGAGTATTAGACAGCTGTTTCGCCCTAGTTACTAAACCTTCTAGCAATACGCATCCACCAGGGTGCGAAATCGTGGTTACAGTGTGATTTCATAGACCATCCAGCCACTGTAGGCCAGTCCAATGGCCTATAGGTTCCAACTTCTGCCATTTCGAGATTATATAGCGCAACCTCCCTCCAGATAGCGTCATAGGCGAGCAATTGCTTTTTAACTGACTTGGTGGACTTCCTACTAGATTTCCAAATAACTTCGCGTACACAACCAATCTTTAGTTAGCATACTGTTAACTGTCAAGTTTTGGTTGGCAAGGACTTGATTTGTTAAAAGAGTTGATCACGAGGTGACTGGCTGAATGGTCTACAAGTTCACCTCATGACTGGACTGTCTGGGGTTCGGATTAGTGAGGAGTCCCGAAATAAGACGAAACATATACCCAGTACTTTCTGATTTTCCGATTATTCTTCAACTGATGTCAGTCCATTATCCAAACTGCAAACAATCAAATCCCTGAAAACTAACATCTGATAATAACATAGATGCATAGATGTGCATCAGGTGGGGGTGTCACAATCCGGAAGACCGAAAATATACATGTATTCTCTAATCCTTGATTCTTGGTATCACAGCCTAATGACTAACGAATTCAACATCAGAAATGTCAATCATTCAGCAATATTTGCCATTCACAGGAAATTCTGATTCTATTCGTATTTGGAGACAATTTCACTTTGACTTTCCTACACAGAAATTTATGTTTAACTTCAGGAATTACCATATATAGAAATAAAATTACACTAACTTACAGTTTACTATATAAGCAGTTTAATTTTAATTATAAATTAACATAGTTTTGCTTCGAATAGTTGTTTGAATGAACAAATAAAAGAAAAGTGTAAACATAAATGAAGATTGTTGTTTGCACTTATTAGTATAAAGAGATATATTAAGATTATCTGCAGACGACTGAAACATGTCAACAATTCTGTGTTTATTTTCTTCTCAATGTAAACCGTTTTTAAAAAAGAGGGGGGTCTTAATCCACTTCTACAGAGCTTGTTGTTGTGTATTTTTCAGTTTACCATGGAGATTTTTTTACATAAAACTGTGGTAGATTAAGTTTTGAAAAATAAAAACTGTTTTTGAGCTGATAGCTGATTAAATTTACTCTAAATATAATGAATAATTAAATAGTTTCTCATAGCTTGTTGATTAATCACGAGTGACTACAACACGACTAAGTCATAGACATAAATAAAAACTTGGGAAATGAACAGTGAAGACATTTATTATCCAGACGTTGGAGAGTATCGGTGAACTAATCTAGTGTGCTGTTGATAAATAGACAGAATTTTCTACATGTCCTACTAACATGCCTGTTTGTATTTCTCTCACCCTAATTATGACCCTTGAAATCCTATTGGTTGTTAACTGTTTTAATTTGTCAATTTAATTAGTGTCTCTCAAGGTCACTTAAAGCATATATGTTTTTTCAGGAGTTGGTTTGTAACGATTAGATCTGCTTATCGAGTTTGACCACGAATTGATATTAGTTAGAGAACCATTGAGATTCAGGGAGTACTGAACAGTTGTTTCATCTTAGTTTGGGAATCATCGGCAGTACGCACGCACTAACGGGAGGTTCGAACTCAGGAACTTCAGGTTACAACACAAACTTGTATACCATTCAGTCACTGGGACCCGATGCAATGGCCCATGAGTCCTAACTTCCACTAATTCGTGACTTAGCGCAACCATCAACCGATATCATCGGTGGGAAATCCATCTTCACACTTGACTGGTTGGACATTACTGGTCACAACTTATCACTAGAACTCCAGGAAACTCAGTTCTATGAAATTCCAGTCTTTCAGGTTCCGAAGTAATTTTGCACTCCCTCCTTGCACTATCAGGAAGCTAGATGATCTTGTAAACTCCGTTCTAGTGAGAAGTTTTGACCTGTGGGGTCCAACCAGTCAAGTGGTATCCTATCGTGTTGTTGTTGTTGTTGCTAATATTGGATAGAACAATGTGTTCGTGAACCGACTAGGTAGGAAATTCGTAAGCATAGCTACCAAGTGTTTTAACAGTTATATCAATTATCACCATATTTCGTGACTGATATATGATAAATATCGCTAAAAAAACTGATTTCAAGCAAAGACTAGCGTTGACATGAGTAAATATCAAACCTAACCCTATCACCCAAGAAATATATGCAGAAAGAAATGGAGATGTATTGGACAGACAGTGCGAAGACCGTTGAACGACGTCATGGCTTAGAGTGGAAGATGAATGGGAAACGACAAGCTCAGTGGGGTTCTGAAGTAGACCTGGAGGAGATCATGTGAAGTGGAGATGAAAGATTATGGATGACCATAGAATCTGCTGAAAAAGACTACAGGGAAGACAGTGAAATGGACAGGTAATGCTAAAGCCTGATACTTCAGTCGGAACACAGAGGAATAATAATAGAGTTTGTTACAATGAAGTTATTTCAATTTCATTTACTTGTAAGCAATAATCTGACGCAAAATATATAAATTTCACTTTTTACTTTTACGATTGATATGAGATGAAAAGGTGAATAGATTATATTCAAATATGAAACTAGCTATATTACCGTGAAATTTGAAAACTCTAGTAAAGATGTTGGCAAAGTAAGAATACCGACGCCAGGTTCTGCATTCGCGCCACCAAGACTAGCAATTTTAGGCCAAGGATTAATTTGTTTCATATCTAGTATGGCTATCATTAATGCTCGTCCAACATCTTCATAATGTGCTGGAGTAAACCGTGGTGCTCCACTAGATGTTTGATTTGTATGATTTGAATAAATAGTATGCATAGTGTTCATCTGTGTACTGATTCCACAATTCCATGATTGCATACTACCAATATCAACTAGATTAGACCAATGAGGACCATAAAATGCACCGGTCGGTGTAAAACGTCCACTATCATTAGGAAGACTTGAAGCAATAAATCTTGATAGACGACTTGGTAATGGGCCTGAAAAATAAAATAATTTTCCTTTGTATTGTATTTAGATTTGATACAGCGCAGTTTGAACATTTATAAATAAAATTCAGAAAAAACAAAAGTCCTTATCATAAAATAAAATTCTTCAGCACTGCACTAAAATCGAATAAACATTAAGGTTTCTAAGTAAATTTTGATGATACACCTATGAACTTTGAAGGACACTGGTTAACAATTAGTGCAATATGATAGAGAAGATTTGTATCTCAGGTGGATGATTTTGATGTGGTTTTGTTCTCTGAGCTGGATGGTTAGTTTGCAAAGCTTTCATCACCTTACTGGGTGACATCTTCAGCGCATACTTCAAATTGAAGTATGCGCTGAAGATGTCACCCAGTAAGGTGATGAAAGCTTTGCAAACTAACCATCCAGCTCAGAGAACAAAACCACATCAAAAAAATTAGTGCAATGTGTCTAGTCCTTTATTTGGTGCAGACTGAATGCTGTCAGTCGAGTTGGCAATCTAGCTACCATTCTATGTGGCTCGTCATCATGGTCCACTTTTAAATTGTTGATATTAGATAGTGATGGTAAGCCATCTAGATTGCTGGCCACATTGCAAACATGACTGATATAATTCATTCTGCACCAAAGAAAGGACAAGACACACCACACTAGTTACTGAGTAGTTCCCAATCAATAGTATTCAATACAGTCCTACAGGACGGTCAGTCGTGAGCCGGAATAGCTCAGTGATAACGTCTTTGACTGCAGAACTCACTGGGTAACCCGGGTTCGAATCTTAGAAGGGATATCAGTTCCTCCAAGGTTGCAGATATGCTTTGCTGACTGGTGAGTACCAACTAGCATGAAATCTAGGTCAGATAAGGCTTTCTTTGGCCGATTGCCTCCAACCATCTAACACCTATGAATTAATTCGAACAATTTCTTTGGGTACAAGTTTATAACTAACAAAATGTTAATATTATTAATTATTTAGAAATAAATTTATAGAGGAGCAAATAGCATAGATGAATTATCTCACCCACTTGGAGAATAGGTTGATTATTATAGAGTCGGTCACAAATTTTTAGAGATAACATTCCTCCTGCCTATTTTTGACTTCATTTTTCAAACTGATGATAAAAGTTAAAATTAAAACAATTAGTCCCTTTGATAAATTTGAATAAGGCATTAAGAAGACAAATTTCGCGAGATTATATCATTTCGTAGTTTCTTTACAACCGCTTTACAACTGACATGGTTAACAATAATAAACTAAAGTTCATGACAATGATGATAAAAAGAAAATTGATCAGTTAAAATTTTATAAGTGCAAGTGAAATTTTATTTTTAAAGTTGATTGGAATGGCTGTTTCTTGATGAAACTGACCAAATAATCTTTAATTTATAACAACTTATTCAAGTATTTGTTGAGTTTTGAGGTAGATTTTATAAATTTAGTGGCATTAGAACCACTGTCAAACTTTCCACAGATGTGGATCAGTTCAAATTACCTCACTTCTAAAAACCATTTAAAAGTAAAAGAATGCTAACAATGACATCCCAATAAGAAAAAGATGAATGCAAGGTAGAGAAACGACTTTTAAAATCTGAAAGCGATAAGAGGTGTATATATGTACACCGGCGTGAACGATTCTGAATCATTCTTATAGAGTTACCAGCTTTTGATTGCTAGCATCTATTGACCTAAAGTTAGGCGGTCTACACCTTATTTAATTCAGTTTTAGATTTTCTCATTGATTGATTGGACCAAACTCCTCGGTCTCAGGTTGACATGTCGGATCTTCGTGCAGATTGACGGGAAGATCTGAAATTGAATTCAACAATTAATATGACCCATTGCACAAGAGGTAGCTCCCGTAGCCCAAGTGTTCTAGTGGAACACGCTTTGGCGTTTGAAACTATGGGTACTAGGTTTGAACCTTGGTGGAAACATCATCAATCACTGAGGAATGCAGGTACATCTAGATGATAAGTCCCAAGAAGGACGAAATGCGCATCTTGGATTCCACTGATAGTCACCATCCACCAGTTAAGTCTACGCCTTCCTTGTATTTTCTGTCTCTACCGATGTGGTGAGAGCAGGCTGCTAGCCAAGTGGTAGACATTAATCTACGTCAATGTCTCGGTCACTAATATTGGCCGTGAGAAAATATGAACAAGGCTGATTCAACGACCAATCACAGCAGACTTAACGTGGGTAAATATGATTCGCAGATAGATGGCTCCACTTTCCGAGTTTACCCGAAACAATCAACCAGAAGACTGCGTTTGTCTTCTTGAATAATAACAATAATGTACAGGAAATATATATAAATACGTGTTGATTTCCGTAATAAAACGATCTGTTGTCGGCCCTTGTCTTCTGATGCTACACCGACACTGTTTTTCCGCCACTGACATAACATGTCACCAGTGACTGTAATTCCTGTGTGAAATGCCACTAAAACGAAGGTTAGGGCAGCATGAAATACTGCAGTTTCAAAGGTATACAGTTAAGTCTGGTACCTCAAATACTTGAAAACCAACAGATACATTAGCATAAAACCTATGTAAGCATTATTGAGAATGGGTCATTCAGTAATTAATGTACTGTACACATTCAGGGAGATTCATAACCGTTAACGTGTAGCACTAAAACAAACCCACAACAAAGCATAGTGATACTTTTACGGGCACTGATCAGTAAATGTTTTTTAAATATTTTTTTTAAAATAGACAATTATCTTGGTTACGATCTCGTAAGAATTTTGCGTCTGACAAACAGATCAACAGTAATCTGAATGGAATTTTTATTGAAACACTGTCAAAATTTTGAATGAATCAAAGCGAACATTAAATCCCATTAAAACTACTAACTGATGTCAGTAGGCACGAAATCAATATCCAGAAAATTTAAATGGATGGGCTAGTGATATCATAATAGACAAAATCCTTATCATCTTCGATTACCATGTTGTTTATAAGGTCAACATAAACATGTTTTATTCTTTATTGAATTGAATATTTTTAGATTTTCCCGTCGATTGAATGGACACGAAGTCCTCAGTCTCAGGTCGACATATCGGCTAATTGTGCAGATGCTTCGACAATGTCTGAGCGTGTAATGACAATTTAATTGGTGGATAGTGATAGTAGTGGAATCCAGGATTCGCATTTCGTCCTATTCGGGACTCATCCACCAGCTGGATGTACCTGCATTCATCAGTGAGTGATGATGTGCCACCGAGGCTCGAACCCATTACCCATAGTTTCAAACGCTAATTACATATTATGTTCTGTTAAGATTTGTATATCTTTTTATTCTATATTAGTCATTCCCCTTTTCGCACTTGACATAACTCTTCAGATAGAATATGAATAAAAAAAAACTAATTCACGACAACAATATAAAAACAGCAACAGTTATAACCTATATCAGATGAAGGCATTTCTTATTTATCTGATGCAAAATTAGAATTCATTTTGTCCTAGGATTTCTAAGTTATGCATTCTTTATAGGTTAAACCTTGAGGATAATGAGAAATTCTACATATTAATTCGTAATTTATTCTTTTATGTTTAAATAAGTCAATCAATGCATCTCTATGATTTCGGCTGTAAATGTGAATATGGCCCTTTCTAAAAGCTAAAGATGTATAGTCTTTTCAAGTTTGTATCAATTACAATATGAGTGTAATTCATACATAAAAAGTATCTAAGATACATAAAATATGCAAAAATAATAACTCCTTTAAGGTCATCTAAAAGGGTGCTTTCGAGTGATTTTCCTTAGGTGACTTGAAGTCACCTTAGACTTAGGGACTGACGTATTATCAGTGAATAATCTCGTTGACTTGGAATATGCAAATGATTAAGTCCTACCAGGTGGAGACGCTGACAAAATTCAGAGTCTTCTGAACACCTTAGGCTGCAGTCTGAGAATGTTCGGCATGTGGTTCGCCCCCACCAAATGTAAGATAATGTTACAGAACTGGACTACAAAGACTCCTAGCTTAGAAATAGGGAGTGAAGTGGTACAGAGTGTTGACCACTTCACTTATTTGAGAAGTACCATCAACCAGTAACAACGGGTTGATCTCTGACGAAATCTCAGCACAAATACACAGGGCTAGTTTCGCATATGCCAGTTTACGCCATCTCTGGTGTAGACGTGATATCCGGCTGTCTATCGACCAAAGGGCGTGTGTACTGCTCAGCAGTCCACTCCGTCCCCCTTTATATCTGTGAACAAGATATGGCCATTGAGAGTGGAAGACATGAAAAGGGAAGCTAGCTGTGTTCGATCATAGGTGCCTGCGTTCAATCTTCCCTGTGAAGTGGTATAGTAGGGTGAGCAATATTGAGATGAGGCATCGGTCGAGTGCTAGGTAAGGAGGGAAATCAATCGACGAGGCTGTAAAATTACATCGACTGAGATGGTCAGGACATGTGTTACGTATGCATGCCTAGTCATCACCATCCTCGACTGACTGGCAATGTTAGCTGACATAGGGTCAGGTTGGAAAAGAGCCAGTGGTGGTCAAACTAAAACATGGCTTCATCAGTCAATGAATCCATAACGGTTAGTATAAACCAGCCATGTAGGGAGATGCAGACTTCCTGGTTGGGGTCCTCGGGACAGTAAAAACCAATGGTTGGAAACAATTGGTGATATGGCTCAAAATCGTTCTCAATGACTGGCGCAGATGCATCCACTCCTTGTGACTTATAATACTCAATAAAACTATGTTGTTCTTTCATATTACAATTCTTTTCTGCTTATATATCAGTTTACTGTCTCTGTTTTACCATTCTTTTTACTTTCTTCTCCTGCTTTGTGTGCTTCATGGAGTATGGCAATTCGAGCTGCTGCACATCGGTACAATGTTCTATGTTGAAACCAGTCAGTCAGTCAGTCAGTCCAGTCAGTTGACTTTAAGTGTTTCAGTTAACTTCAACGAGATGCTTAAGTTGATTCACATCAGCTTCGTGGGCATTCTAGAATGTTTTGTAGTGAGTAAAATTCTTAGGCGATGAAAAGAATGTGTGAAAAATTCCAAAAACCGCGTGAAGGCAATATACAATTCCTTTAAAACACAAAGATATTCACTCAATTTAATTACTGATAATAGCTAAAAAGATTGTAGCCTCAATGATACGTTGACAGTTGAGAAATGGTTTATTGACTTAGGCAGTCGAATTTAAGCCCGTGGACCGTAGATTCGCTTCACCAACTTTAGCGTGGGTAAATGGATAGTATTGTCAACTGTCGGACAATAAGTGTGATTCGTAAAGTGGTACATGAAAATCTATTTCTGAATAACAGATAAATTAACAGAGTATTATTATTTTATTCCTTTACGTTCCAGTGGAACATAGGGCTTCAAGCAAGAGGTTTGAAGTTTCAGTAGTTATAGGGTTTACTTTTACAGGATAGGGTTGCTAGCCTCATGACAATCTTCCTTCTTTACTAGTCTTATTACAGGCTTAGCTAGGTGAAGGAGTGTGTCGGCCTGGTATCGAACCCCGGGCCACATGCATGGTTGGCGAGCGTTCTACCTCTTAGCTACCGGCTCACAAATTGACAGAGCTTTGAACGAAATGCTCACCTTGGATTAGTATATTCTAATCGGAGATGATTGACAGTTAAAATTTAGATACAAAGTTTCTTAACAGCCAACTAAAACGGTTCTGTTACTTCCCTCCAAACGTTTCATATATTCAACATTTCTTCTCCGGAAAATAATTTTTTTATCTTTCAGTAGAATTTCCCTGAAATTTACTGTCACTCTATTTTCCTAACTATGATAAATCATTGCAAATTTTTTTTTCTCCAGTAGTAACGGAAAGCAAAGGGATTTCGGTTGAAATATTTAACTTTTTATACTGAATTACCCTGAAAATTGGAAGTATTTTGCTGACCTGGCTACAATTTAGCATTCTGGAAACAATTTACACATTTTAGGATATGGTAAGTTAAGCTGACGAGATTCAAAAAGACAAAATGTCTATCCTGAAAAGCACTGCTAGTTAATACTCACTCAGTAAACTAACCTGACAAATGAAAACAGAGGCATTATCGAGGCATCGTATTCGAAGCCAGTTTGTCAAGATAAAATTACTAACCTATTCATTTATTGAGAGTTTTCTATTTGTTAGTAAATAAACCTCTCTGTTGCTAAATTGCCAAAACTGCTAATCTGAATAGATAACGTTATCATATAGCATACTTTAATAGCATTTCTTCAGTAGAAATGGGAATCAGGAGATAAGAAGAGGAACAATTCACATTATTGTGTTAGATTATCTGAGTAGCAGATGATGGCAGAATCAGTTTCAAGGTTTGGTCACTAAAGGGATCAAGATACGAGACTCTTAATTATGATTTGGAATGCATAACAGAAGTAGGAATATATATTTACTCCATTATTAATATATGTGTAAAACTTGGGCACTGTGGCAGTAAGTAATTCCATATTAGTTTGTTTATTAGATCTATCATATAGTCAAACAGTATTATTTAATGGATGACGTTTCAAACAAAATTTATTCTTCATAATCATATTAATTATGTGCGTCAGTAGTACAGCGGTTATGACTCTCGCCGATCATGAACATGGTCGGAGGTTCCATCTCCTGCCGACGCACACCTGATATCTATGGTCGGCCTGCAAAATTTGGGCTACCGATATCTTATGGTGAAAATTCCATAACTGTACCAGAAAATACGGTGTGGAATCAAGCTGTAATAAAAAAATTACCACACGACTTCGAGACTTCAGTTTTGTAGTTTTCTTTGTTTTCTCCTATTTGTCGTAGGGGTAGCAGAATTTTCCAGATATCTGGGATGGGTGTTGAACCATTCCTATTACAGGTGTTTGTAGTTGATTCGATAAACAAAGCTTCTGTTATCGATCTACCCCTCCACCCGGTGACATTAGATTTTAAAACTGTCATCCTACCCCACCCTATTGTATGGTTGTGTGTAATAGCATGCAGTGAGTGCTATAGCTGAAGTATTCTCTAGATTTCTTATCTTGTTCGGGTCAACCAATCTAGATTTTGGTAGGTTTTTATGTTCGGCTAGTCCGACTCACTACAGCTGTTCTACTAGTTTGACCTATGTATTTGACCTGACAGTCATCGCAGGTAGGGTATTAGATAAATTGAATTGTTTTGTTTTAAAGGCTCCACAGAATTGATCCTTTAACCGACAAAGCTTGTTTCTAATTGAATTTATGGGTTTGAATGCCACTTTTATTTCTGCCTTGCTAAGAATTCTGCGTAGGGTTTCCGAGGTTCCTTCCTTGTTTCTTCCTTACTACTGATGATTTAGATTCCTTATTGTTGGTGTTGTCTTGCGCATATTTGACATGCATGTCGTCATTAATATTATTATTATCATCATCATCATCACTATCACTACTATTATTATTTATATTTACTCCATATATATATATATTTTTTGAATAAAATTTAAAATTATCGTCTTTCCTTTCGGTCTTTGCTATCAGCTGATGAAGATGAGTAGTTGTTGACTACCACTCACATTAACGAGTAGTGTTTGTTAGCTGAACCAGCTCGGCTCTCTAAGCTGAGTCAAACTGGCAATACCACTGATGAGTTCGTCTCGAAATGCGCAAAGTGGCTATCCAGTGCTTAGATCACTTCAATCTAGCTAGTAAACACTACCGGGTGATTTGTTAGGTATACAAATACTCAGCTAAATCAATCAAGAGTATAATAGTTTTATGCATTTAGAATTCCTCTTTGAAAACTTCTAAAACCTTACGTCCTTTTTTAGGTAAAGAAACCCTCTACAGATAATTCAGACAGATACTGCCTTGTAACGATGCGTACTATTTCCTATTGACTCGATATGATTGTTCGTATTCACATAGTCTTCGACAATTCTCTAAGGTGTACAGTATGGAACAAATTCTTCTTCTTAATAACACAGTATCTGTATAAACACGTTTATCCCAGACTTGTTGGAAAAGTCAAAAAGGAGAAAATTATGTATTAAAAAAATATGTTGGTAGGTATGTCTCTCTGCATGTTGGTAGACAAATAAAATGTTATAAGCTATATAAAATGTAAACCCTGATTTTAATTTCAGAGACTTAGAATTAACTTCCAGGACTTACTGACGGAGGCAGAGACAAAATGAGTACTATTTAGTCAACATAAAACCTGTTGTGACTACATTACGATTCACTTTGTCTACACACACACACATTATGTCTGCAATTACTAAAAATGCCAATAAAATAGGAGACAAGAAAATTAAAACCATATTACCTAAACACCATGAAAGATTTGACAAGGAAAGATGGAAAAGTAAGGTGAATAAATACGTCTGAAGCTGATTTTGACCCTGAACGCATCTGACATTGGTTTCTTAGACTGAATGCAGTAGTAATTCTAGTGGAGTGGTTTAAATGAATTACTAAGCATACGAAATCACGTTGTGGATAATCAGAACCGGCTATTCTCATGCTTTTCTTCTCATCTGCTGCTATAGGACAAGAAACTCACTCCTTTTATCCTTCACGATACACTTTAACCCTAATATTTGTAACAGTAATAACCAAAACTTGTGCGTCGGTGGCATGGCGGTTAGCACGCTAGCCGACCATGCACATGGTCCAGGGTTCGATCCCCGGCCACCAACGCACTCCTTTACCTCGCTAAGCCAGAAATAATGCTGGTAAAAAGGAAAGGTTGGGCATTAGGCTAACAACCCCATCCTATAAATATTAAATACTGTTACAGAAACTTCAAGCCACTAGTCTGAAGCCCTATGTTCCACTGGGGGACCTGAAGGAAAAAAATAACCAAAACGTGAACTATTTATAGACAATTCAAATATGACATACCTGCGTTATAATTACATTCAACTGTATAACAGTGAGTAAGTCCCATGTGTTTCCATACAGCTACACGACCAGCACCTTCTTTAGTGAAATTACCCTTACGATCTTTTTGATACATATTTCGCAGGGTAAAGTTACACGAATCGAAATCAAAATAGATTGAATTCACGCCAACTAGTAAAGCGTATAAAACATTATCTACCTAAGAAATGTTTTGGTTTTATAACATAAAATAAAAAAATAATAATAAAATGCCATTATCAGTATTGATTTACTTATAAAGTGTATGCTTCAAAACAAGAGAAAAACAAGTGAACTTTAGGTATTGTATTTCAAACTCATCAGTTGATTTCTGTGTTAAATATTATCAAAATACTACAGATAATTGCATAGTAAAATGATTCAACTTATTTACATATTTGGTTTCAGTTAAAGACAACAGCCAGGAACATTCCCGTCTCTCCAGTATTTTTTTTTCTTAGTGGACTAGAGATTTAAAAACTTTCTTTTTGATTAGTTACAGGAAATCATCATGAGCTGACATTAATTAGAGAACCATTAGAAAACCACACAGGAGTACTGGACAGCTGTTCCGTCCTAGTTTGGGACTCTTCATCAGTACGCACCCACCACCAGGGGTTTGAACCCAGGACCTTCTGGTTACATGGCGAGCTTGTAGACCATTAAGCCACTCGGACCCGATCCAACGGCCCATGAATTCTAACTTCTGCCAATTCATGACATAGCGTGACCCGTAATCAGTACTGCCAGCTTTTCCAATGGTTGTCTAACTAATGTTGATGATGGAATGTCATGATGAAATCCTGTAACCAATCAACCAAATGCCTACAAACCAACACTTGAATTTCTTTTTGATTCTTTGTGTATGCTAGCATTCAAATCAAAACAAGTTACAGCTGTGTTTTTTGGGTTTATGCTGTGTTTAAAGAAGTAGGTCAAAAACGTATTTCAAACTGGGTATTAGTATTGTACTCGTAAAACCGTCCTACAGTCTGCAAATTGTTGTCTGAAATAATGTACAGATCCGAAATTCATGGTAAATAAATCAGTAACATGATAAACCGGTTGACTAAATGATTGAGTAATGAACGAATCCTCGCAAAGCCTGCAACACGTCTGTATCCTTTCAGACAACCACAGTTTAAAAGCACACGGAGGAAGAGAAGAGACATGTGATGATGATAATAATACAACAACAGGATAATGGTGTCAGGAAGAGAATAATCATTGAAGATAGTACAGAATCAATTCAATGAAACCAAAAGCGGATAGTTTTCAGTTGTTTCAGCAATAGACTTTAGTCATTCACTTTCAGAAGCCTAAAGACCCCAGTTAAACAGTTTATGTCTTCTTTTGTGACTCAAACCAATTACTAAATACTCTGTGGAGTGATTCTTTGGGTCTGATCACCTCTTACCCTTTTTCAGCCCATTGCAATTTCAGTTGACGCTCCTCATTAAGGAATAAATAATAATTTAGTAGTAATGACTTTATTCCATACTGTGGCTTGTCCCATTCAGTGCGTATCGTGGTAAATTCATTTGATTAAGCTTGACAACTTTGCCTACCATCTTAATAGTCGCCTAACCTCACTGTTAGCATGATCGTCTTAACTAAGGAACTTTTTAATCACTTCTAAATTCAACTGCAATGTCTTACAGATGCAGAATAGATTAGAATGGATTACTGCTTAGCAGACAGGTGCTTTTTATAAGAAACCGAATACCATGAAGACACTAAACGCAGAAAAAGTTGGCAAATCATGAACCAGCCTTTTGTATTTGTGCTGGAATGAAAATGACAACCAGTTCGTTAGGGTCAACAAAGCTCCGTAAGTATGTAAAGTGGTGAATGTAGCAATTAATTTTGTTCTTTACCTGTAAACTAACAGCTGGGGAAGACTAGTCCAGTAGCATCACCTTATATTTGGCTTAACGGTGAACCATATCGCTAGATAAGTGTAGATGTCTCGGTAATTTGTTGAGAAGACTAAATTTTCCAGATAAACTATATTTTCTGAGTGCTGTAAGTCAACAGCCTTTTCTTCTGGTATTTGTTAAAATGAAGAGTCAGAATCCAACCCAATTACATCCATCAGTACGTCTTCAATAACACTAAATAGGAATAGCGACACTGTCCTCAATACACCAATTTTACTCTGTGTGGTCGACAGAAAGCCCTGATTGATATATAGGTAGAATTATAACATCCCATAAAAGTGCACTTATTCAAACTGCCGTAATTCAAAACCATTCAAAAGTAAAAGGAAACAGAAAATAAACGATATTACAATCAATAAATAGAAGTATATGATACGACTATTAAAAGACTTCGTGGTGTAGCGGTTAGCACTCTGGACTCTGAATCCAGCAAGCCGAGTTTGAGTCTCGGAGAGCCATTCTCCATCCAGTTGGGGCCTTCTAATGTGAGTCGGTGGCACTGCGGTAGAATGCTCGCCGACCACACCACAGATGGTTCGAGGTTCAATCTCCAGCTAACACAATCCTGACCCTCGCTAAGCCGATACAGTGATATTAGTATCTTCACAGAGTATTCTGCCAACTAACACTTCTTATAAGAGATTGATTATTCAATTCGTGGGTTTATTCATTAGAATACCTAGATAGAAGAAACTTAATGTTCATACAATTTATTAACAGTTAACAGCTTCTTTGGAAATATGACATCTAAGATTTGTTCATTATGAGAGGGAATTAATTCATTTTCCCCGTTATAGAGCAACAAACTGTCCAGCAGTTTTTAAGGACACATCTACAGTAAAATTCAGTAATTAGTTATTTGAAGTAAACACTTAGTTTTCTTTAATCTTAATTCAACTAACACTGCTCAGGAAGGCTTCATGTGCTTTTGGAAGAACAGGTTGACCGCTTCACTTATTTGAGAAGTACCATCAGCCAGTAACAACGGGTTGATCTCTGACGAAATCTCAGCACAAATACACAGGGATTGTTTCGCATATGCCAGTTTACGCCATCTCTGGCGTAGACGTGATATCCGGCTGTCTATCGACCAAAGGGCGTGTGTACTGCTCAGCAGTCCACTCCGTCCTCCTTTATGGCTGTGTGACCTGTCCATTGAGAATGGGAAACATGAAAAGGGAAGCTAGCTGTCTTCGATCATAGGTGCCTGCGTTCAATCTTCCCTGTGAAGTGGTATAGTAGGGTGAGCAATATTGAGGTGAGGCATCGGTCGAGTGCTAGGTAAGGAGGGAAATCAATCGATGAGGCTGTAAAATTACATCGACTGAGATGGTCAGGACATGTGTTACGTATGCATGCCTAGTCATCGCCTTCCTCGACTGACTGGCAATGTTAGCTGACATAGGGTCAGGTTGGAAAAGAGCCAGCGGTGGTCAAACTAAAACATGGCTTCATCAGTCAATGAAATACACAACAGTTAGTTTAGGCCAGCCACGTGGGGAGGTGTAGACTTCCTGGTTGCGGTCCTAAGGACGATAGAAATCAATGGCTAGAGACAATCGCTGATATGGCTCAAAATCGTTCTCAATGGCTGGCGCAGATGTATCCACTCCCTGTGACTTATGATTTCCAATGAAACTATATTGTTCTTCGTTATTACTCTTCTTTTGTCTCACACCTCTGTTTACTGTCTCTATTATGCATTTCTTCTACTTTCTTCTCCTGCTTTGTGTGCTATATGGAGTGTGGCGACTTGAACTGCCGCACATATGTGCAAAGTTCTTTTCCAAAAACAGATAGACAGGTAGACAATTAACACTGATATACTAAAGCACCACATTATTTGAATTTACAAAGAATTTACGGTGTTTATAGCTGACAAATGAAATGAATCACATTCGGTCTAGATTGATTTGACTGAATTCATGTGTACCTGTTTACTCAAACTGTCTTGAAACTAAAATATCAAACAATACGGAAATTTAATGTTAAAATGACAAAAATTTTCAGCCTAAAATATTCACTTATACAAACCAGAAAACTCACTAGAAAGGAAGCTGCACAAGTTGAAAGATACCACATTACTAATTAGGTCAATATCATGTAATAATTGTGAGATCGAATACAGTGGCCAAAATAATCCGTCAGTTTTGATGAGAAATTCTGAGTATACAAACTGGCTAAATGTAGAACGAAAGATCCTAGAAAAATAAGTAACCTGAGAGAAATTTCAGCTGTCGCGACGCCTATAGCAGATTTTTACAGCGACAGTTATACCCCTTCAGACAGATTATACCTTCTCAGATTAGTAGATTTCATTTTGCTGCTATCAGAGGCAACCAACTGATTATACCTTTTATCCACTACTGCCATAATCACACTAAGGAGTAGGGGGAGTAAACTGTATGAAGTGCACTAGAATCGAGCGTAGGCAGAGATGATTATTGAATGATTGTTTTTCGAAGTAATACCTGATATTTGCAACTGGAATGTTTCAACACTCGTTACAAATAGTTTAAAAATTCTACTGTCGATAAAAGGGAAGGAGCAAGACACTAAGTGAAATATAAAAATTAAATTTGAAAATGTTATGATTATTTTGATGCGATCATGGACAATAATACTGTGCTCAAAACTCCAAATGGAAAATGTTTAAGTGTCACAATAGCTTTGATCAAGGAAACAAATTAAACTATGGGCCGTATTGCAGCTACCAAGTTTTCCTATAGTATCAAACCATAAATTAGGAAAATTTATGAAAAAACTTACCATATTTTCCTCTGTATCTAACCAATTTCCGTAAAGAAAACAACCACGTTTTGAACAATGTCCGTGTAAATCAAAGTAAAATGCAACATTACTTTCTTCATTTTGTATTAAACTTGCATCGCATAAATGATCAGCTTTTCTCAATTGATTTAATTGTTCTTTTAACATTTCAATTCTGTCAAATTCATTCATATTTAAATCATTTCCTGATTCACTAGTTGAAGTATCACTGCTTAGCTGAATTTTATTAAGATTCTTTTCATTTTTGACTAATGTTTCAATAGATTCTAATACATGCAGAAACTGTGGATTAATTGAAAAGTCTTCCACGTCTGATTTTTCATTGAAATTGTTCAATAAATGTACTTTAAATGTAACAGAAATTTAAAAAAATATTAGAAACAAGTGAAGTTTATAAAAATGGCAATTAAAGTTTTAATAAAGCACATAAAAACACATCAACAAGTTGGTTGGATCAAATGATTTACTGACAGTTTGGATATTGTCATTGAACTTCTTTCGATTAATTTCACAGTAGGGTGGAAAATAAAACTAACGGTATTCAAGTGTTGGTTTGTAGGGATTTCATCATGAGCTGACATTAGTTAGAGAACCATTGGAAAACCTGCGAGTGCTGGACAGCTGTTTCGTTCTAGTTTGAGACTCTTCACCAGCACGCACCCACCGGATTTCGAACCCAGGACTTTCCAGTTACAAGGCGAACTAGCTCGTAGACCATTAAGTCACTGGAACCCAATCCAATGGCTTAATGGTATACGAGCTCGCCTTGTAACCTGGGTTCGAATTCCTGTGGGTGCGTACTGATGAAGGGTCCCAAACTAGGACTAAACAGCAGTCCGGTACCCCTAGGTAGTTTTCCAGTGGTTCTCTAACCAATGTTAGCTCATGATAAAATCCTTAATCTACTGGTAGTTCGAAAGTCTTATTATTATTTTAGTCTAACCTAAATAAAAACATTTAAGGATAACAGAAGTTTAAAATTCTATTATCCGTGTCTTAAACCATTTCTACACAAAATATTCAGTCAACTAATGTAAAGTGACTTATCGAGTTTTAACATACACTGTTTACACAGAAGTACAACAGCTTAAGTAGCCACACTCCATGTGGTGTACAGAAGTAGAGAAAAGGTTGAAAAAAGAAAGGTTTAAAGGAGCTATAATAAATAGAAATATGATGGAGAAAGAATAGCAATATGGAAAAAGGAGGATCTAATAGAAATGGGAAATCAAAAAAGTCAATGCATATGCTCCACTGAGAACGATTTTATACACAAGGGGCACAACCAGACAGTCTGTATCTCCTTGAGAGACCAGCTCAAACCATCAGTTAAATACTTCGCGTATTCATGCCAGGTTTTGGTTTAACTGCCCTCAACTCTTTTCCAACCTACTATAATGTCCGCCAACACAAGTCGTCCTGGAAGGCGTTGAATTGGCTTGTGTGACAGGTGTCCTGGCATTCACAATCAGTGTAGCGCTCATTACCTCATTGATTGGCCTCCCTTCAGTATCTGGAATTCTACGCCTAACCTCAACATTAGGCATACTATTATACTACTTAACACACTGGAGACAGAATGCAAATATCTATCGTCGAAGACAGACTTTTCACACCTTCCACAGTCAGTGTACATAGTTACAACAGCTTTGTACCAGGAAAAATTTTGTATGCCTATTCAGAATTTCAAGTTTATCATTACACAAAATAATCGCTCTATTTACAGAATTTTTAAATATAATTTATGGTCTGTCACTTTATACAATCAATTCCGTTAGAGCTGAAACACATTCACATTGCTCAAAACCCTTTAAAATTTCTTTATACATTCAAAGAGATACTCTGATGACCAGTTTAGGGATTTATATGAGTGATTAGAAGTACCCAGAATAACTTAGGCTTGCTACTTTATGTAAAATGCTAATTTTAGTAGTCCATCGATTCATGTATGCCACCTTGTTGCTCAACTTATTTGGTGATAAAACTACAGATGTGTTCAATGTTATAACCCCAAATTGTGTTGTGATTTATGAGAGTTAACCAGATTAGGTGCCATTACAGCTAACAACCCATATCAGTACATGATAGTTACTGTATTTCACAACTTTAAAGAAATCGAAAAGTTTACTGGATCACACTCAATATATATGTTAAACCAAAAGTAGGGTGAATAGAGTTATTCAGTGATCCCGAAAAATTAATTTGGTCATCAGATTATGTTGATTCATAATGAAAACTAATTTGAAACCATTAGATTGAATGCTAGTAAATTCTAAAACATTTTGATTTAAGTTTACATGTTTAATTTATAGCTTCAGACCAGTCTAGGTATTCATTAGTCAGATTGATGAAGAAAACGTTTTCTCTCCTTCTTGTCAGTTTCATCTTATTTAGCTTAATATGTCAACTTTGTCAATTCACTCACTTGTAATGCAACGGAACTTGACAATGTTAAAATCACTGCTTATTTGGTAATAAGTTTTGCGTTTATGTTGTAATGGAAAAACTGTTGGGGAAATCCCTCCTGGACGGTTTAATCACAATAGTTATACTTAGTTGGATATTTCAACTAACTTTATAAGTATCATTTTATTTTTCTCCTTTTTCAGATCGTGGAAAACACCCATAAGGACATTAGAAAGAAGAGAAAGCGAAGTTCAGCAAAGATATCTTTTCGGCGATTTCATTTTCAAAAGCTGTACAATCGCATTTAAATGCATAATTTTACATGGATACAATTCTTGTTTGATTTCACATAATTACGACGGCAAATAAAAGGTGATAATTATTTCCAACTAGATATGGTTTGCGAGAGGCGTAAGAAACTAAATTACACAGGAATAGAACGGATAACAAGTGTGTAAAAATGAGCATGGAAACAAAATTGAAATAATAATTTTCGACTTGAGATGAAATTTAGGATATGCGAATATAGATTACAAGAGCCTTAGAAACAAAAATTACACGGGATTATAGCGAATTACGGGTGTATAGATGCTCACTTTGTGTGTTGGTGCCATAGCGCTTAGGATGCTCGCCGACCATTCACGTGGTCTGGGGTTCGATCCCCGGCCGACTCACTCCTTTAACTCGCTAAGCCAGTAATGGGACTAGTAAATCGGAAAGGTTGGGCATGAGGCTAGCAACCCCATCCTGTAAAAATAAAACACTGCTACAGAAACTTCAAGCCTCTAGGTTAGAGCGTGAAGGGAAATGGAGGCAGCACATTTTTACAAACTTGTTATCCGTTCTAATCCTGTGTAATTTTGTTTCCAAGCCTGTTGTAGACCATATCTAGTTGAAAGTAATTATCACCTTTTATTCACCGTCGTAATTATGTGGAATCAAACAAGAAAATATATCCATGTAAAATTATGTATTTAAATGAGATTGTACAGCTTTTGAAAATGAAATCGCCGAAAAGATATCTTTGCTGAACTTCATGTTCTCTTCTTTCTAATTTTTCTCCTAGACTGTATATCATTCTCCTGACATTCGCATATCACATATTGACTTGGTCCTTATTATTTGTCTTTGTCCATATTTAATCTCTATTTTTAATGTTTCTTTTTGTGGTTGCATGATACACTGCCATTGTGTTGTTTAACGATGTAATTTTGTTCAAGTGAATAAAGGTCATTCTGACCTTGGAGTTTCTGCAGGATTCTTGTGGAAAGAGTTTTTAATCCTGCCTTTCTGGGAATATTCTACTTGATTCTAAGGTACTTTTTACAGCTGAATTTCGGTAAACTAATTTTGTTCTGAAGTACTTGTTTTGTATTTACAAAATTAACTGGACTATACAGCTGGACCTAACCGCACTGTTGAGATAAATTTGAGTTTTCGATGTAATTTTTGAATAGAACCATAGTTTCCAGAAACGAATAACCGTCTTTTTGCTGTCTTTAGAGCCTTTTATGGCTGTAGGTCTCTAATGAGTTTTGTTAGCTATACAGTAGTACGAAGAGATCGGTTTTCAACGTTCGGAGCACAATGAATCAGTTTGGTTGTAATATTTGTGTTTGTTAGCTTTATTTCTGGAAAGTATTTTTCCTGACTTTTAAATACCATGATACTCCAGCCTTTGAAAATACCATCCATTCTGAAGTGCCTCTATGAACTATCATCATGGACTTTTATCCTCCAAACTGATCTAAAGTCTCAGTAAATTTTTAAAATTTGTGTCTAAACTATTTTATTTCAAGATTAAATATTCCCTTTTTCTAAAAATGCGCCATGTGTAACGGTAGTTCAGTAGTAGAATATGCTTGCCAACCACTCCCGCGGTCTGGGTTCCATTCCCTGCCGATACATTCCTAAACCTCACTTAGCCTGTAGTGGGGCAGGTAAACAAGAAAGGTTGAGCGTAATGCTATCAATCCCATTTCGTAAAAAATACCACCTCTGATGTAACTTGGAAGCTTAAGCTTGAAGCCCCATGATGTTCCACTTGAAATGCGAACGAATAGAAAACATCACTAGCCAGTTGTCTAGATAAAGATTAGTAGGATCAACTAGTGACAATTTTAAAACTATCACTTCATCTTGACGAAAACAGATTCACTTTGATGAAAACTTCTATTCAGATATTTAGATCACTGGTAAGTCAGTCAGTCAGTCGTAAAAGCTTCCAAAACGAATTCTTTGAAAATAAAACGCTGAACTAGGCTTCACAGTGCACTTTTGGCATGAATGTTGTGACTGCATCTGAAGCTATCAACGAAAATGACAAAGACTTAACGCCAAACACTTTTAAAATACAGTCTCGTTTGTTTGCTGTTTCATTACCGTCAAAAGAAAAGAATTGTGCTCTATATTTATTTACTGGCAACCGACCTAATGAAATGCAGACAATTTACGAATCCCAAATAATGAATTATTTGAAAACATGAATTCAGGAAATTCAACCTATAGACCTTCGACAGCTTCGATAGAGAGGTGATTTGGCAACTACTTCGCTGCTACGGGGTGCTGCCAACAATTATACATCTCATCCACCATTTGTACGATAATGCTGCAAGCCAGGTAATCCACAACAGGGGACTCACTGAATCGTTTGAAGTGAAGACAGGAGTAAGACAAAGCTGCGTACTATTGCTAATGATTTTCCTGACTGCAAAAGGTTCAACAATGAGACAGACAGTGGGCAAAGAGGAAACAGGCATAAAATGGACCCTAACGAAAAACTTGGAGTATCTGGACTTCGCCGATGATATATGTCTGATTACGCACAAACCGGAAGATATGCAGGTGAAAAGTAACAAGTTGGCAGAGAAAGCATCAAAGATAGGATTTCAGGTGAACATAGAGAAAACGGAGGTGATGAAGATTCCTGGCAAATAACAACAGTAACAACAACAACAGACAACAATCAGGATAAATGGGAGAAATCCGAAAGTAGCAATCTCCTTTATCTACCTACCTACTTGGAAAGCATCGTTTCAACTACAGGCGGACGGAACTGATGAGGATATCAAAGCAGCGAGGATCGGGAAAGCAAGGCTATCTTTCAATACACTGAAGTCTGTGTGGAGGTCAGCAGCGCTCAGCATGAAAATCAAGATGTGGATTTTTAACTACAATGTGAAATCAGTGCTACTTACTATATGGATCAAAGACTTGGCGCCGCGTCACGCAGGGCACTTCAAACGAACTACACACTTTCATCAACAACTGTCTTCGATCAACACTGAAGATCACATGGCCGGCCAGAAAAGTTCAGCACTAAGGAGGAATCTCTGGGAGCAAACCAACTAGGAACCAGTTGTGCAACAAATAAGCAGTAAAAAAAGTAGGTGAATTGGCCATACTCTGAGAAAACCATCAAGTGACATCATACGCCAGGCCATCGCTCCAGTGAGACGCGACAGGGAAGCGGTTATTGGATCGTCAGTGAGAGGGTGACATGGAGGAAGAGGTCATGTGAAGAAGAGATTAAAGCATATCAGCAGACGTGGAGTCAGGTGAAAACGCTGGTGGAGAACCGAACGCAACGGATACGTGCGGTTGAAGCTCTATGTTCCTCTAGGGGCTAGAGGAGACAATAATAGTAATGATAATAACCTATAGGTAAAATAATTCGTTGGATGCTCAATGAATCGTATAAAATGCCATGAAGAAATACCTGTTTAGTCAATGAAAAACGAGACCATTATGACATCTCTCCAAAAATGTATCCATAATTTAAGCAGAAATCATCAGTGTCAATTTAATTATTTGTCGTTTGCATAGTGGTAAGTGGCATCGCGTGAAAATAATCCTAGGCGTGATTCCAGTCATTAGGGAATTTCTCATTTCTTTAATCTCAGCTTAATGCTTACACAAAACTTTGTTCATTACACACGATTTGTCTTTAATTCTTCACATTTTCATCTCACTGTGCCTCGTAAGCGAAACAGTTTCAAAGTAATCCATCTGACGTAAAAGTATGAATCCTAATATTAAGCTATGACCAGTCAAGAGAACTGAGATAATTAATCGTTTCCAAAAGAGAAGAAGACAAACAAAAATGAACTATGAGAAAATCTAAGTACACTTCCTGAAATATACTAATAAACCTAAAATTTATAAAAACTGTAGTGTTAGTCATTTCAAAAATGACGCTAAAATTTCATCTGAAATGTGATACTTGGCTGTCAGCTCATAGTAAACATTTAAATCTCTTTATCAAAGTATAACAATTTAAAAACTTAGAATCTTAGTACAAAAATCTAAAATTAGCAATAAATAAACAATCAAATTCAAATTGATTATTTACCGTTTTCTTCATCATCCATATCAGATCCTTCATTGCCTACTGTACTCAAGCAACATGAATCATCATTTAGAGTATGTAAGGCGGTTTCATTTAAAATCTCCTCTTCATTACTGTATAATAAATGTGTTTCAGGATTTAATAGTGTATTTTTTTGTTCATTCATATAATCATTGCCATTCTTATTATTCTTATGAATACATTCTTGAGTGACTAATGAAAATGAAGCATTAATTATATCACCATAAGATATCATTTGTATATCATCATTTGATATTTTAGTATTATCATTTAAACATATTAAACTTTTCTCTTTAATTTGTTCAGAGACTAATTGTGATTTTTGATGGACAAGAGATTTTTTACTTTTATAATTTGTTGTAGTATCACGATTCAATACTGGCATAATATTTGAATTCAACAAAACATCATTTGGTTCTTTCTTTTGTTGTTGTAAGGATGAATTTGATATTTGTCCATTTGTGATAGCCTGTCTATATGGAGAATTCCATTTCCTACAACCAAAAGAATATATATGCATATTAATCGCTTTATCCCAAACAGTATATTTATTAAAATATAGAATTCTTACCATGGGATACAGTATTCCATCTTATCTTCAGTTCACATTATATACTAAGGAGAAAATAAGAAAAATTATGATAGTAATAAATAAGTGATAGCAAGGGTGCCTTTGTCTTTGTGTAATCTTTAATTGTAGTACTTCTCTTTGTGGTTGTGTGTCCATTGACAATGTGTTCTTTACCAATATGAATTTGTTTGAGTGAATAAAGGTCATTTTGACCCGCAACTGTTTTTTGTTTTGACTCCACACCGTATTTTGGTACAAGTATGGAATTTTCAGCATGCGATATCGGTAGCCCAATTCTCCGGGCCGACCATTGATATCGGGTGTGCGTCAGCAGGGGTTCGAACCCCGGGCCATGTGTGTATGGTCGGCGAGAGTCCTAATCGCTGTGCCACCAAAGCACACAGAGGCAAACCTTGATGTGTGATTCTTGTGGACAGTTTTTAGTCGTTCCCCACCCCTATCCACCACCCCCTTATTAGGAATATTCCCCTCCTCAATTCTAAGGTACTTTTTACAGCTGAACTTCGGTTAACTAATTTTGTCTTGTATTAGGTGGTTGAAGGCAATCAGCTGTAAGAAGCCTTGAACCACCTAGATTTCGTGCTTGTTAGCACTCCATAGGTCGTCAGCAAGGGGTATCTGTACTCAACTTGAAGGAACTCATGTTCCTGCTTCTGAGATTTGAACACGCGTCACCCAGTGCTGCAGTCGGAGAAGTTACCACTGAGAAGGTATTCGGGCTTGCGATTGACCTCCTGTAGGACTGACTGAATTGAATATTTTCGACTGGATATTAGTCAGTAACTGGTGTCTTTAGAAATAAACCTTCCTTATACAGCTCTGCCTCACGGCACTGTTGACGTCAGTCTGAGTTTTGATGTTGTTATCGTTGTTTAATAGAACCGCTAAAATATTGTAGACTCGTCGCCTTTTCCTCAGCGTTTGGAGTGTTCCGTGATAACGCGTGTCTCAACGAAGTTTTTTACCAGCTGTGAAGTAGAAAGTGGAGATCAGTTTCTGGCGCTCAGACTATAACCGAATAAATTTAGCTGCCGCAGTTGCGTTGGCGGCACAGCGGCAGAATGCTTACCAACCCCGTAGGTGGCTCGGGGTTCGAACCCCGGCTACTGACTCACTTCTTTACCTCGCTAAGCCAATAATAAGACTGGTAAAGAGGGAAGATTGAGAATGAGGCTAGCAACCCTATCCTGTAAAAATAAACACCACCGCTGCAGAAACTTCAAGCCTCTAGCTTGAAGCCCTATGTTCCACTGGGAACGTAAAGGAATAACAAAAAGCAAGGGTGAAGAGGATTGTTTATTTATAGCCACAAAGTAGGTTAGCGGCTTCATGCTTAACACTGGTTTCGACACAAATTGCTTGATAAGTTGATTGATTTACCGTACATGCTACAAGTCGAAAGGTAGTCAATTCAAACTTCTACTGAAAAGAAAACAGTAAGGGAATCACATGTTTCATGACCAGGGTATTACCTAAGTGCGTAGTTCATTCTTGTGGATTACAATCAGTTTCAATTTAGCGACTAAGCACTGAAAATTATTACACAAGAAGCCTAATCGAACCCAGCATAAAGTAGTATGTCATCCTTTCTCACGAATCGTGTGATTTATCTTGTAATGGAGTAGCTTTGTTAATGTATCATTTCTCAAGTATGTTGTGATTTAGTGTGTGATCAATTCATTTTCTTTTGTCTCACCTTGATCTTTGTTGGATCGTCAGCCAATGATCGCCAGCCAATAAGAACATTCCATTCTCACGGCTGAGAGCCAACTTTATTATGGTTAAGAAAATGTATAAATTTCATGCGTCGTTTCTTAAAATAATATAATACAGTCATAGGCCAGCCTTTGTCTTTTGATATTTCCATGGCTCAGTGGATGAGAAGGTACAATGAACAATAGACAGTCGAGTTCACTACTGTTATAGTAAATAACAGCCGGAGACATAAAAAAGTAGCGACGGGGTTTATTCACTTCACTTCAGTTGTAACAAAGCCTCAGAAATATAAAAATAAAGCTTGTGCACTGTGGGAGAGTGTAATTCCATTATAGATAAAATTTGTTTTGATAAAGTCTCACAGTGTTATTGTCAATGTAGTTGAAGATTGAACGATCAATTCATGGTTGTTTGCTCAAACCCAACTTCCCTATATTTTCGCGGGGGTATCAATACACCAGTCATCGTCTCATCGGTCTCTCTTCAGAAAGAAGATCAAAAACCCTCAGAAACCTTAGTTATTATGCTGCTCATATGTTGGTGTTAGAATAAAGAATTCTCGAGTCGCCAATCGGTGTTTTGGTTTTTGCGTCCGTTAGTACTAAGCGTTTCTGAAAGGCTTCGATGGACAGCGAGAGGCCCAGCGTAGCATGAGCTGGGCATTAACGGTTTATGAGACGTGATTGACAGTTATACAGTAATATATATATATATATATATATATATATATATATATATATTCAAGTGACAAGTACTTGAGGAGTAAATAATTTTAACGAAACGGTGAAATTTTCACATTCTGAAATTATACATAAGTTATGGAAGTTATATAAATGTAGAGAATTTTTCAAATTGATAAATTATGTGCTTCAAATTAATGCTTAACAACTGTTAATGAATTATGAAGAAATTGGTCAGATAAAGTTCATTATTCACTCCTGATGTAATAACCGCTGCATGGAATTGGGCGGGCTGCTTAAAAATTTAGCTCAAAGAAAAACCTCCATTAATATATTGTGTATAATTTCTCTTCGCCACTTTGTTTAAATCTAGTGAAGTATAACCTCTAACGATATTGTTTACTCTGGCGAGTATTTGAAACTTTCACAACCTGCCAATTCCTAAGATTTTACTAAACATTTGAAAAAGTATGATCCTTGATTGTACCTTATCACAATACATGAAATGAATGTTCCTGAATGGTATCCTTGGTTAACAAAATGTTCTCCTGAACTTTTTACAAATGGAATTCAACAAAATGTCGTGTATTTCTTGAAGGAGAAAAATAAGATTTATCAAAATAGATTAGTTTGCTGTTCAGGTCAGATAGAACTATGTCACACGATCTACTGTCAACTGATCTTCCTTTTTGAAGATCCTGGATGAAGGGAAAATATCGTGCATTAAAATCCATTGAAGCTTGTGTGTATTTAATATACATCGTTCAGAATAAAGCTATTATTATTAGTGATAGATTGGTAACAACTCTTAAGTAGTATTAAGAACCATTTTTGATTGTACAAAAGGTAATGGTTGATGAATAAATTAGAACTCAAGAATCACTGGATCGGGTCCCAGTGGCTCGATGGTCTACGAGCTCGCCTTGTAACTAGAAGGTCCTGGGTTCGAACGCCGGTGGATACGTACTGATGAAGAGTCCCAAACTAGGACGAAACGGCTGTCCAGTACCCCCAGGTTTTCCAGCAGTTCTTCAACTGATGTCAGCTCATGATGAAATCATCCATGGAATAAATTGAAAACAAAAATTGGATAGCTGCAAAATATAAATTAATAATCCCTAGGTTACTTATCCTTTGCTTCACTGACAAAACTGTGGCGTAAATAAGCAATCTACTAAAGTATAATAGTGCCAGATAGTTTGTTCAGCAGACAAACAACATGTAACAATCTTAACACACTAATCGAGTGGATAAGAGTTTTATGTTTTGAAGTAGTCTGTGGTTTCTTCAACTAGTGTAGAATTTAAATATTATGACACCAACAGTAACTGATTTATATGGTCAACTTTAAAACAAGGGTTTGAACTCTGCCGTGTCTACCAAAGTTTTTGTAACCAGGTAGTACATTAGTTTCCACAATGGGAGGTGTGATTCAGTTCCAGATGCATGTATGTGTAAATGATAATTGCTTCCCAATACATTTAAATATCAAAGTGATGAATTTACTGCTGAGCTATCACACTGCTGATGTTATCAACATTCTAACGAAATGTGGTTGACATTCAAGTATTGGTTTGTAGGGATTTGGTTGATTGGTTACAGGATTTCATCATGAGCTGACATTAGTTAGAGAACCATTGGAAAACCACACAAGAGTACTGGACAGCTGTTCCGTCCTAGTTTGGGACTCTTCATCAGTACGCACCCACCAACAGGAGGTTCGAACCCAGGACCTTCTGGTTACAAGACTAGCGAGCTTGTAGACCATTAACCCACTGGGACCCGATCCAATGGCCCATGAATTCTAACTTCTACCAATTTCACGATGTAGCGCAACTACTAGCCAATGTCTTCGGCGAGTATTTGTCCTCGCACCCGACCTGCTGCATCCTACTGATCACGACCTCCCACTGGGACCCCATGTAACTACTTACCTAACTAGGGTTGTTTATTAACCCAGTAATGTTCATAAAGATGAAAAGTATACATAGGCAAAAGCCAAAATGGTTTTAATCCAGTGAATGAAACATTAAGAAAAAGTTGAATTCTCATAATATGCGTTATTCGCTTGTCTTGTAATTTAATCAACAATAATACAATATCATATAATAAATGATCTTTACTGAAAAAAAAATTGACTTACATGAAAAAACAAGGAAGACAGTCAACTTTTAATGCCGGATAACGTTTACCACCTCTATTGAAAAATGATAAGATACGATTTGGTTGATTACGTCCAGATCCTTTGAATCCGTTACTTTTATAATCTTTATATGACTTTTTAGATTTTTTACCATCTCCAATTGTACGTTTAATAAGAATATTATTTGGTGCTGATGTAATAAGTCGTTTAACTGAAGGCGTTAAATTATTTGTCGTTGATGGCGTAGTTCGTGTTGTTGATGTGAATGATGAAGAAGGCAGTGTTGTAGTAGTAGTAGTAGTAGTAATCATTGTTGTTGCCGCAGGATTCCGTTGTGAGCCAACTTCTGTATTACATACCAATGGGAATTGAACAGGTTTTAGATAATTTGTAAATGTTTTAGACAAATCTTTATTTAATTCAGCCAAATAGGATGGTGTTGATGTTAACTTTGAATTATTTATTCGTAATAAACGTTTCAAAGATGAATTGCTGGTTTTTGTGTTAATGTGTTGACAGTTTGGCATATTTTCTCTGTCGTTATTGCTTTGTCCGGTAACTGTATCAGTTACATCATTATTGTCATCCTCATCAATATCGTCAGTAGCAGCACCGTTAACAGAATAGTTGATTTTATGTATGACTGATACACCTTCATTGATCAATGGAAGATCAGAATTGAGAAGTAACTGTCCAATAGATGGTGACGTTGATGAAGAATTAGAAGATGAATGATTTTCTTTTTGATTCAATGTAGTTCCACCTTTTGTTATTGGTGGGGTTTTTGATAACAGTATGGTCGTTGACAATAAAGATTTAAGTGTCTGTTCAGAAAAGGATGATTGACTGTTTTTAATTGGTTCATCTAAAGTTGTATATGATTTAACTGAATCATTTAGACCGAACTTTGATATCGATTTCTCCTTACTTTCTTCCTCTTCTTCTACTGTTGTATTTGGTCCATCCTCAGAGTTATTTGCAAAGGTAACTGGCTGTAAGAAAATTGACAGAAATCATGAACAAGTATGAAATTAAAGTATGAACTAATAATTGCATTTGTACCGGGAAAACTGACGAATGCATCAACAAATAAGAGAACTTACATGTAAGCACACTGGCTCATATTCGGAAGCGGTTTATTTGACACGTTTAAACAATAGATGTCGGTGGTAGTGACGGATTCGAAATGAGAGTATTAGAAGTATAAATTAGTTAAAATCCAATCTGGGCTATCATATCACTCCATCATAGCATTGCACATTACTTCTCTTGTTCAGTTTGCTTTAATCTATCAAAATATGACCTGGTTTGTACTGTCACAATTATTTAAGATGTTTATAACCTGTTGATTCTCAGGTTTATACTAAACTTCAGAAGAAGCATAATCATAGGTGACAATGTATCTGGATATATGAGATAACTGTTGCTGAGATTTTTAGTACAAACTGTCACTATCTCAGTAATGAAACCAATTACCTACAGTCTTCAATTATTAAGCTATTATTATGTTTTTGGATCACAAAAAATGTACTCTTGAACCTTTTTCTGTATTATTGCTTGATTCCACCCGGAAGTTTTTGGTACAGGTATGGAATTTTCAGCATGCGATATCGGTAGCCCAAATTTTGCAGGCCGACCATAGATATCAGGTGTTCGTCGGCAGAGGACCGAACCTCGGACCGTGTTCATGGTCGGCGAGAGTCCTAACCACTGCGCTACCGAAGCACAGGCAAATATTATGTACTTCTAGAAGGAGGCAATGAAGAAGTATCGTAATAAGGGATAGGCTTACATTTCAGATGAGACGGCGATGTATCATCAGATTTATTGTTAGTTGCTATTTTACCTGAAGATCCTGGACAAAGAGAAACTATTATGCAATAACTTCCACTGAAAATTCTGTACATTATATAAAAACTGTTCAAAATAAAGCTATGATTATAATTACTATTTCCTACAAAATAAGTTGCGAATACGGAATTAAGGGAAATTTAAATCAGATTATTTATTTTGCAGAGAATTTTATGTTAACAAATTTCTGAAGAACCCAATGAATATTTTGTAGAACAGCAGTACAGAGCATTGTTTTCGTCCAAGGAACTGCACTTCTCAACTTTTCCATAAAAAGATAAGTGATTAGGAAAAACACTCAGTGAATTAAAATTTTAAAAGAATTACTAAACAACCAGATGCATTTTCTATTGACACACACCTACTTTATGATTACTAATAATACTACTTGATTGCTTAAAACCCCGAAGAGAAGAAGTGAGGTTTGAACTGATAACTTATTGCATGAGAGTCAGGCATCAAAATAAGGAAATACATATTTCCACTTTCGTTTCTAATCTAAATAACAACTTTCGCGGTACACATTTTTAAAGATTATTTAATTACGATTGATTTATTATTATTATTGTTCCCTTGGGTTCCTAGTGGAAGATAAGGCTTCAACTGCACGTCTCCACTTGCTTCTGTCTTCTGCTGTACTTTTCACACGCATTCATATTAGTGCATACTGTTTCAACTCCTCTTCACACGATCTCCTCCATGTCATCCTTGAACGTCCCACTCACCACTTCCCTTTCCGGCTCGACTCGAGGGCCTGATGCGCGATGTCACCTAGCAGCGAGTGTCCAATCCATCTCCACAAACATTGGTGATAATAAGCATCCTTGTCTGACTTCTGTGTTTACTCCAAACGCCTCGCTGAGTTTTCCGTTGTGGACTATATAAGTAGTAGTAAAACATTTTACTGTGTAATAAATTTCTTTTTTTATTATAGCTTGATTCCACACTGTATTTTTGGTACAAGTATGGAATTTTCAGCATGCGATATCGGTAGCCCAAATTTTGCAGGCCGACCATTGATATCAGTTGTGCATCGGCAGGGGATCAAACTCCAGACCATGTGCATGGTCGGCTAGAGTTCTAACCACTGTGCCATCAACACACAAAGGAGTGCGTCTGCCGGGGGTCGAACCCCGGACCATGTGCATGGTTGGCGGGCGTCCTAACCGCTGTCCCACCGACGAACACTGTATATTATATACTTACATTTTGTATAACATTTTTAAATAATTTATCACTGTTCGCCTTTTCCACAGTAGCTTGCATTGAATTCGATACATCTGATGACGTTGTACCAACAGAGTTTGGATCATTTTCAGTAGTCTTAGAAGTAGGAACAGAATTAGAGGAAATGGATGGAGAAGAGGATGAAGGGGAATATGCAGAAGGAGGTGCAACAAGAATACCAGAAGTATCCGTGGGCACTTTTCTTTTGAAAATATCATCTAAAAATTCTGCATATGGTTTTATTGTTCCATAATTTGTATGATAATATGTAATTAATGCTTTAGTAGCATAAATTGATGGATAGTATAAAAAATCAGGTTTTAAATAAACACGATTTAAATTTATGCCAAGTGTATCTGTTCTATAGTGTCCATGAAATACACCATCAGGATTTAACATTGGTATTAATTTAAAGATAAAATTTTTTCGTAATTCACATGCACGTTGATCATTCAATCTCAATAGAAATTCTAATATTCCATTGAATACATGACTCGATGGTGTTTCACCGGGATGTACACGAGCACTGACTAAAACAACCTAGTTGGAAGAATACAAAGAAAAAAGATCATTTTCAGTAGAGGTTATTGGAGATAATAAACAATGGAGAATTACATTACATCATAAAACACTTAAAGATAGGCAACAACGTTACGGTTGCTTAGTGTCAACCTTAGTTAACCTTCAAAAGTGATGGATTATATTAGATGGTTGGATGCAATCGGCCACAGGAAGCCTTGTACCTAAGTTTCGTGCTAGTTGGCACTCACCAGTCAGCAAGGCGTATCTGCAACCTTGAAGGAACTCATGTCATTTCTGAGATTCAAACCTGCGTTACCCAGTGATGGATTATATATCTAGTTAGTACAGCAAGCCACCTTTTAGCTGACTTCTTACCAAATTTGAATTACATAGATTTAGGCAACAATCCAGCTAGATTAGAGAATTCAACTCAGTTAAACGCCACAATATTTAATCAGAAATTAATATGTACTAGGAAATGTAAACATCTTCATATACCTAAAATTTGCAGTGACTGAAGCCACGAAAATCGACATTGAGATGTCAGTCTGAGTCCTGAGAACTAATACTTCATACATATCTTCAAACTGACAGACGTATCTGTTACGAATGTATGAAGCGCTAATCTGTTAAATAGACCACCACCTGAATGGGTGCTAAATTTCGTGATATCCACTATTAGTCCAAAGTTTACGTTTTTATTTAAAGATAAACGTAACAGACCGGTGATGATTCTAGTTCAAACTAAACACCTAGTTTCTGATAAGAACTAAGCCAACACTTTACAGATTATGAGAATTGTTTTATACCCAAGAATATTAGTCTATTATAATAATCAATAACCAGCACCCAACGCATTCAGTTATTGGAAGTACTGACCTCAGAGTCAAGACACATCTCTTTGAAGATCTTTCTCCTAGGCAAAGATTTGTCATGGTGATGTTTTCATGACTAAGGAAATTACTTGATTATGGATTTATTTTATTTATTCACAACACAAGTAAGAACTAATCGTAAAATGTTGATTATTAGGTCAACTAATAACTACATAACAACAGAATAACCAAGGAGAACCTAAAGCATGTGCAGTCTATCTTAGGTGCGTATGATAGCAGTTGACTGTAAGCGTCAGACATGGACAAAATAAAACTTTTCAGTATCGTATTGTTGCACTTTTGACTACCGAGAAAGCACATAGAGTTTGCCCGAAAATTCACAAAATACTTCGATAAAATGAAGAAGATAACTAGTTTTATCGATGAGACGAGATGAATTAATCTGGTCCGATTTTTAAGCTTCTTGTTCGAAACTATTTGAAACCAGCAGTATTCAAAATAAGAATATGATGTTCAAGTGTTGGTTTGTAGGGATTTGATTGGTTTACAGGATTTCATCATGAGCTGATATTAGTTAGAGAACCATTGAAAAACCACACAAGAGTACTGGACAGCTGTTCCGTCCTAGTTTGGGACTCTTCATCAGTACGCACCCACCAACAGGAGGTTCGAACCCAGGACCTTCTGGTTACAAGACTAGCGAGCTTGTAGACCATTAGGCCACTTGGACTCGATCCAATGACCCATGAATTCTAACTTCTACCAATTTCACGATGTAGCGCAACTACTAGTCAATGTCTTCGGCGAGTATTTGTCCTCGCACCCGACCTGCTGCACCTTACTGGTCACGACTTCTCCTGGGTTCGAATCATAGTAGGTGAGTACTAATGAAGAGTCTCAAACTAGGACGAAACAGCTGTCCAATACTGCCAGCTGGTTTTCCAATGGATCTCTAACTAATATCAGCTCATATAAGAATATGACTCGGATAACTGATTGCTGGCTTAAATGCATATATATTATCACCTTTGATATTAAATTTGTAGGCAGGTTTTACACACAGGGGGGAGATATATTAAATATTATATAAACACATCAGTCATTGTAAGTCCTACCTTTGCATTCACCTCACAAGTGAATTTCATTCACTATAGTGTAAAGCAGTTTGTGCTTTTTTATAATTTCTTCACCTTTTATGCATTGTTTTTCCCAAGGAAATAGTCAGGAATACTAGGAATTATCATGTGGTTATGTAACTTCCTACACGCTAATTGATAAATGATTCCATTTTAAAGTTAATGAATAAATGTCTCAAAGATTGACTGTATGTTTAAGAAACATCCATCGAACAGACTTTATACTCGCGAATTTACAAATAAAAATGCAAACAATTACTTAATTCTGTAAAGAGTATGAAGCAAAACGAGTCTGAATCTACATCATTATAACTTACAGTCCAAAAGGCCTAATAAATTTTTATTTGTATTAAAGACTGCATATTTTTATTTCAAAATTAACAACATTACTTATATGTGTAAACCGGGATGTCTAGTTTCATATGTTGTGTATGTAGAAGAAATGTGATTCAAACGCTTGATTTTTCACTTCATTCCTAAACTTTCATTTATCATCATAATATGAAAGTTGAAGTTACTGGTTACTTCACTAATTTTAAAATTTTGATCACCTGACACTGTACATTTGCGTTTAACTCACGTATACTAATAAGTGAATCAAACCAGTCTGTCTGACTAACCTTTTTATTTGTAAATTTCCAAGATCTATTTTTATTTATTTCAGGAAATAATAATGGATCGAAGCGATCTTCTTCAACATATGTACAACCAGACCAATCAGTTATGGTCAACAGCTCAATTCTTCTTCCTTCAAGACTATAGCACAGTAGTTCTCTATAAAAGTAAATTTTATCAAATAGTCCTTTTTCTGATTGACAGAATTTTTCATCTTCTGATGATGTTGACGATGATGAAGAAGACGAAGTAGCCGATAACGTGGTCACATCAGCAATTTCTCCCGTTATTGCTGCTGTAGTATTCACCGTAGATGATGTTACTAGTTCTGGTATAACTACATTGTTACCAATTCCATCAAACTTATCATTCTTTACTTCATTACCTTCGTTACATTTATGTAAAATTAAATTTTCTTTGTCAGTATCAACTTTATTGTAATGGAATATAACGTCTAATTTGCTTAATTGAAGTTGCATTTCATTGTATGTCCATGGATAACAAAACGCGAAATAGGTAATGCTTCCACGGGGATCCAGAAATCGATGTACAAATGTAAGTAAAAACTGTCCATTGACTATTTCCCACAATGGCCTGTCACGTATACGTTGCCACCTAAAATTAGGAAGATTGAACTGCACTTAATATACAAATAAGTACATAACGAAGAGAAGAAATCCGTTTCATAGATACGCCCAGCATAACGATTCAAGTTGACAACAACTACTAACAACAATAAACGATCTAGTTGACTTTGTATGGAACACAGTGGATTTAAGGTGTGACTATTTTTTGAAGTGAATAACATGTATTTTTTATACCTGATTGATAAACTTTATTCTCAGGATGCTTTAAGAATATGATATACATCAGTAAGCTAAATACGTTCAGTTAATAATGTAGGATTTAAAGTAGATTTTTTCTGGTCAAATCGGTAAAAGGATAATAAATTACATCACTCTCAGGCAAGTTTAGATTTGAATAGTAAAAATACTTTTTATCATGTGTTTACGTTGCAGTAAATGATTTTCACTAATAATATTTTTAATTTGGTCAATAGTAGATCCTGGCATTGAATGAACATGAGTTTACTAAATTACTCATTCTCATAAAACAGCAGAAACAACATTCAGTATATAAAATATAGACTGGTTTTAAGGGAAAGGGACTAGTTCACCACTGTAGGTTATTTAGATTACTTTGATTGTCAGAAATAAACAAAAAGTCCATGATTTATGGTGCATGTCACGGGAATTTATTTTACAAACTTCGTCACCTTATTACTGAACTGAAATTTGGTTTTCATTTCCCAATTACGACTTACATCAGCACTAGGTAAGGAAAGCTGTAATGTCCACCTTTGCCTACCACGGACTACTTGGTCTACTAAATACTATTGGTTAATAATAAGTATTCTCGAATTACATAAGCCATTAACCGTCAAATACTTCATTTTATTATTACCGACCGTGCTAGTTGTAAAACGATCATAAGGGAATTAGAGAATTTAGTCATCTCGTAATATTTGTCTTCTTAATACCTTGTTTAAATTCATCAAACGGACTAAATATTTCAAGCGATATGTTTGCAAACGATATAGCTGACAAGTTTATAAAAAGCATCAGGGACTATACATGTTGTCATACTTTAGTCAAGATAGCTAAGCATACGAAGGAATTAGCGAACATATAACCAATGGAATCACTGCAACATTTCCACCAAGACTACAATAATGTAACCCTAATGTCTTATTTAGGTTTTCTCATCTACAACATGTAAGTAGTCCAGCTCACATAATTACGGAATAAAAGGCGAATTGGAACCGTTAGTGTGAATGGGACCATAAATATAAATGAATTACGTAATGGTTATGAAGTTAGTATCCTTCAAAGACATGTACATCAGTTCGAAAATACTAGCTCCCTATGAGTGTTATACAGTGATTAACATTCTGTTTCTCATCAGTGCTTTTTCATCCTTTGTTTGGCCCTTTTATTTCTCCAGTAGGCGTACTGAATAACAGACAACTGTTGCTATGAATTTTCAGTTGTCTTGCATATAACTCAACTTTTGCATTTCTAAATTCGTCACACTTTACTATCCAACAAACCAGCTCCATTTAAAATGAAATCAAGATTTATTAATGTCATATAAAAACGAATGCTTTGAAAGTTGTCCGATTTATCTACCGAGTGAAGTTAAAATCATGTACATTTCGCTTATGTATAATTCCAGTTACGAAAAACCTTTGTCACTTATTTGGGTTCCTGCTGTTATTGTAAGGTAAGCCAATTCGCTTTCTCCAAACCTCGTCGCTGTTGCAATCCACAGTAAATTCAGTCGGTCAGCTAATACATAATCAAAGTAGCTAGCTCCTATGAAAAAGACAACCATTATTTGTCCGAGTGGTTTGCACTTATAACCTCTTATGTCACGATATTTTGGCGCCAGTACATAAAAGATCCAATAAAAGCTGACAAACCTGCAGTAAAATAACTGTAGTTATACTGGAATAATTCAAGAAGAACGAGTGCTTTTAAAGGTATTTGCCAATGAGGTCTAAATACTAACGAAAGTTTGATCATAGACAACTTTATTCAGGTGTACCTTTAGGACATATTTATCTTAAACAAAGCCAGAAAATTTTAGAAGGAATCAAGAATTATTACGAAATACACATATGCGCAAAAATTCAAAATATTGGATAAACTGTATATTTTTCAATTTCGCAATTGACATTTCAAAATGTCTCCAAACCAACAGAACGTCATCAATTCAGAAGAATAAAATTAGAATTCAACTAAAGGTGGTAGAATAGTGAGCAATATCATGGGTATAGTATCCACGCTTCTACAACCGGCAATTATATGAATTCATATAACTTCCAGTAGTATTTAAATATATTTATTCTAATTTACAATATATTGTAAATTAGAATAAATATATATATTAGAATATATATATATATATTATCGAATTACCTTGACTGAGCTACTGAAGAATTACGCACCCGATAAAGTGGTGCGTATCCTTGGCTGTAGATTTTAGACTGTTTGTTCATGTTCATTACGGTAAATTTCATCACTTTTCCGGGACTGTAACCTCGCACAGAGAAATAAAACCAAGTTCTATTCCCATTCTCATAAATAGTTCCGGCACAATCTGGCTTGGTCCATATTTTAAATTCATGATCAACTCGAATGTCGGCTATGGAGGTGTTTCCGAAAATACTGTTATTGGTATTTGCGTTCCCCTTCTGTGAATGGGGCTTATTGCTTGTTGTGACAGAAGATGAGCGTTCATCTGTATCATACGAGACTTTTTCGACACGCGCTAAGTTCCCTGAGTCGAAGTTTGAAGAAAAGATAATGCCGCCAACGCGACAATCCATAATCCGAAAAACGGTACATTAACGTGCTAATCAAGATAACCACTCATTGCCCTTACCATGGTGATTACCATTCAGTGTTCAATGCCCAATGTTTATGGAGGCCCAGAAGTTTAATTTGATGGGTTTTTGATTGAACCAAGATGCTTCATTCGGAAAGTCTGAGCAAAATGTGCGACCTTTTCGAAAGTCTATTAAAGAGTGTAATGCCAAATGAGACGCATTATGCAGTAAACTTGATGCTTCACCACATCCTAACAGACTAAGGAAAAACCAAACGTGAAGGGATAGCAGTCAAAGCTTTCTATAAGTGCCATCAGGTAGTGTGTGTGGATCGGGTAAAGTAAAGCCAATTTATGGGATGGAAACTAGGAGAAATCTATACAAATATCATGTAATGTCAAAAGGCAGGCGATCACTAACTGCGATACTAATCGTAAATAAATGTTGCAAAGGCGAAAATTTGTAGACAGTCACTTGCTTAAAACTCAATACTATATGAGAAGTCTGACAGAAGTTACTCTCAACATTAGGCTAATTTCAGCTCATTACTTGAGGACCAAAATACGTCACGTAGTGGGAAAACACTTTTGCACAACTATATTTTTTTAGGAAAAGCATGAAGTGTATATTCACTTAATTCTCCACCGAACTTCGCTTCAGGCGCGTGAACAGTTATGTTAACGTTCGAGTTCATCAACCTTATTCCAAGGAAACAAATATAAAAATGAGAGGACGTCCATGATAATAGCACATTCGGCCATTCATTTTGTGAGTAGCCCACAATTAGACCTTTCATAACTGACCGTGTAAACAACGCTGCTCGTCCATGCCTCCGGAAATTCCATCAATCGTCTCCTGAAAAATGACAGCAAAAAGGAATGCTTATAAGGCCATTCAGGAATACCCACGGTCTGACAGTTGACGAACCAGGTTACAAAACACCTCTCAAAAGAATTCTTGATTCTAATTTCGATTAATGTTACCATGTCATTAACATGACTTTATGTCTTTCTTATTCCATATTTCACCCATATATTTACACTTCATCTTACAAATTTACTTTTATCCATCTAGAATCTTTCCGTGTACCTACTGTTTCGACATAAATTAGCTGGACCTGTCATCCATCCATCTCTACTGCATCCACCCATCTCTACTGCATCCACCCTTCCTCATTTTTTAAGTTATATTTCTAATCATTTGGCCACTTTTATTCTTCTAACTTAATATTATAGAAGTTCAGTATTTTCGCTTAGTGTTGAATGCTTACACATAAACAACTTGTAAAGTAGTTCATGATTTGTATAAATCCTATACGGGAGTAGAAAGAGTAGCATAAGTAAGCGATAATTTCTAATGTCTCAACCCTTAAACACTTAGGTTATACTTTACATACCAGTTTGCATTTTGTATTAGACCGTTTATGCTCCTGTGGGGGTTGAAACTTTTTTGTTTGAATTCACATTTTGTTGGAATATTGTGTCCTTAGTGTTTGGATGCCGGACAATCTCGTATTTGATGGTTTGTTCCACTTTTATGCCACATATTTCGTTTCATAAAACAGTAATGTTGCAGTTCTCCAACATTCTGTCATCGATAAAGTTCCATTTAGTACCATTTGGTTTGCTCCGGTTTTGGTCAACTTCATGTTGAATCATCGGGTTTTGTTTCGGGATTTGGTTGGGTTTATCTGAAACAGTTTGGTTTTGTCTCATTCAGGTGGAAGACTGCAAGTTTGTCTCCTTTAAGGTTACTCTTGAAGCGCCTGTAACATAGATAAATGCGATAAACCATCATTAGAAAAATTATATTGAGTTAGATAAATAGAAGGGAGAAGTGAAAATACTGGAAATCGCTCAAAATGAAATTGATGACAACAAGGGACTCATTGAGGTGATGGTACATAAGTTGAATAAGCAAATCTAAACAGTATTATCTCACTTGTCACCCTTATTTATTTATTTCAACTTAATGTTGGTAATGTTGTCTTATCATAGCCACCATCCCGTTGCTCAATGTTTTGGTCCTCTACCAAGCCCAATATATCAATGCTCGTTCAAGATTTACACGTTTCAGGAGACATTTAGTAAAATACAAGCACATCTGCTCCTTGTAGTCATTGTTTCTGGGTATACTTACACATATGTGAACATGTATATTCGTTGGCCATCAAGAACTCACTTAACAAAGAACACTGTCAATATCTCATTGTATCAGCTGCATGGAAATTGCCAGCAAAAAATTGTTATTTTGTGAGTCGGTCAACAACACGAATAATGGTTCATTCTGTACTCTTTGGCATTAAAAACCTGTGTGCGTCGGTGGCACAGTGCTCAGGACTCTCGCCAACCATGAACATTGTCTGAGGCTCGATCCCCTGCCGAAGAACACCTGATATCTATGGTCGGCCTGCAAAATTTGGGCTACCGATATCACATGCTGAAAATTCCATACTTGTACCGAAAATACGTTGTGGCACCAAGCTGTAATCAAAAATTAAAAAAATAAATATTTATTCATCGATTTCCTGGAAGGGCCATTCGAAGGAATGACTGATTGTTTGCCCTCCTAATGGTTCGAGGAGTTTCAGTATGAAGTTTTAGAGAGGATGATAGAATGATAGCCTGCCATATCTAACGCCGTACGAAGTGGTTGTTGAGGTTTGCAAATTTTTGATGGGCCATGAGTTTTGGAACAGCCCATACGGTCTGTGCTGACACCTATCCTATTATTTTGCAACTGATTTCATCGTGTCACTCACAAAATTGTACGTCTTTCTTTATCCTTCATGTTGCACCATGTTTACTTCATTTCACTTTATCCCACTTCATGTAAACGTACATACGTACACACTGCTAATTAAATGAATTTGAATAACCATGTACTATGAAGCTGTTGCTAGATCCCATTTCGTCTCATCAGACTGCTTTCGTAGGATCCTCAGTTACTTGAACACGTTTCTGCGTTTGCAACAGTCACCCTGAAATACACAACACCTCATCCGCGATCAGTTTCTTAGTATTGCACAGTATGTCCGCTGGTTAACTTTCAGCCCTAATAATGAGTGATCGTTCTTAAACTTGAGTAATTAACAGTGTTGACTTTAGGATGCCGAGTCGCCTAGAATATTTGTGTCTAGAAATCTGCACACCTCCACGGAAGAAGCAGGATTGAAATGGGTTTTGAAATTGCTTATAACTGTGTTGCTGAGTGCTTTACAATTTTTTAGAATGATGTAATTTAGGCACATTTCTCACAATAAGTCTTCGTTGTATTGGCGGTACGTTCGAAATTGGTGACATTTTTGCACGTGTTTGCTCTGAAATTTATTTACTGCTTATTGTCATATAATTCTTGAAATTATGGTCCAAATCTCTAAAAAACGTGTTCGTAGAAACACAATTGTTTTAGATAGTGGCTTAAATTCGGTTATAACTGCATTACCGCCTCGTAATACAGTATCAACTACTAGCTCTCAAAATGGTTTGAGTGCAGATCTCACTCCTGTGATACAGGTGAAAGATGTTCTGTTAGAGAACTCTGAGTTCTGTAAACTAAACCTCCTTTTGAAAGATATGCAGAGGCAAGTAAGTGAAATTCAGAAAAAATTAGATCAGTTTGATAGTATGTCACTGCCAATCTCAAATACCACGGAGAGCCGTTCTGATATTGGCCAGGTTAAGTGTTTACTGGATGTAACTCAAAATAAGCTTTTGAATTTAGACCCAATAGCCTGTCTTTTAGAAAGGCATCCTAAAATATCTCCAGACAACCTAAATAAAGCTGAAAATCTGATTGACTGCTTGGCTACGGAGGTGATGAAGCGTATAACCTCTTCTCACCAAGCTATAGTTTACAACGTCCCAGATTCTCTGCCCCTGAAAACTGTAAGACACAAAATCCTGATTTGTTGCGGCATGGCTAGTGTTCCATGTGAATGCAAACGACTTCGTAAAAAGTCTAACCAGGCTAATTGCCCAATCATTTTTAAATTCAGTAATTCCCTTGATGCTAGTAAGTTTACTAAATGTCAGGATCACTTAAGACTGAATAGCAGTTATAAGTCTATAACCGTAGCTCAGGATAAAACACCGTGTCAGCGCAGAATAATGCGTAGTAATAACCTGGTCACCTCCTCTAGCTCTAGCTTTGATTTACCAAATAAGGATCGTGCACAGCAACAGACACCTAGTGCTGAAACTAGCATTCAGCAAACTACACAACAACCACACCTGCCAATGGAACTAGGAACTGATTTAGATACCAGTACCCCTGTAAACAAAGCCTCATCGAAAGATGTTAAAATGACTAGAACTTCTGCAAGTTGTTCTAAGAAATTTCCCCCCAAACGTAGTAACCTCACCACGATGAACAAATTTCGCAGGGTTGAGACTAATGATGGGGAAGAATACTTTGTATTCAATAAGCCTGCTGAGAGTAAGAATGCCAACAAACCATCACTTGTTACGAAAAACTCCTCTCGAAACATAAGTACATCTGGAGGTGTTCCGCATGCTCCACCTTATAGAAAGTCAGGCTCCAAGACTCCTAAAGTCTTGCAGCCAAAGCACCTTCCTTCACAATTCCCTTTAAGTTATAAAAACAACCCGAAGGTGTATACCGGTATGACGAATAGCAGTTGGATGGGTAGACCTTCTGATGCTATGCCTTTTAACCGCCAACCTAGGCCCAACCTGTACTACCCTTATATCCAGGAACACATGGTAAATTTTCCAGGTGTCCTGAATCACTGGTACGACCCATGGCACCTAGGACCACCTCATTGCACACCAACTCCGATGTGCAGACACCCAGTCCGACCTCCTTTTCATTCATAAATTCTTGCGGTGCTGACGCACAAATAGATTTAGGTTATGGTGACATTTTAAGCCAGTTTGTAGTATCCCGTGACTTATTCACGATATTGCTAATTAATGCACGCTCCTTAATCAATAAGATATCTGAACTAAGGACATTATTATTAGTCGCCAAGCCTACTG